TGTGCAAAGTAGAAGATGAACGGAAACGGCAACATGAACACCAAACTTCCAGTATTTGACGGTAAAAATTGGAATCGTTGGATGATCCAAATGCGTGTACTGTTTGGTGCTCAAGATGTTCTGGATCTTGTCACTGATGGTTATGTTCCAGTAGCAGCAGATGCAACTGATGAACAGAAAAACGCGCAGAAAGAAGTAAGGAAGAAGGATCAGAAAGCATTGTTCTTCATTCATCAATGTGTGGATGTAAACGTGTTTGAGAAGATTGCAGACTCTACAACAGCAAAGGCTGCATGGGACACTCTGGTGAGATGTTATGGTGGTGACGCATCAGTGAAGAAGGTGAAGCTTCAGTCCTTGAGAAAGCAATATGAGAATCTCAACATGAAGAATAATGAGAAAGTTTCTGAATACATCTCCAGAGTGATTCTGATCACTAATGAGATGAAGGCATGTGGAGAAACTCTTTCTGAAGAAACAATCATGGAGAAAGTGTTGAGATCCCTTACTCCTCAATTTGATTACATTGTGGTAGCAATAGAACATTCCAAAGATCTGAGCACAATGAGAATTGAAGAGCTGCAGAGCAGTCTAGAAGCGCAAGAGTTGCGTCTGACTGAGAGAAACTCTGAAAAGGAAGTAGAACAGCAGGCTCTGAAAACAACTTCTGATAGGAGGTATCAGAAGCAGTCAGAAGTCAGGAGAAGATCTGATGGTGGTCAGAGGTCAGAAAGCTCAACCTCTGATAGACAAAAGAATGCTCAGAAGGGAAAAGAGAAGTATGACAAGAAGAAGATCCAATGTTACTGTTGTAAGAAGTTTGGTCACTTTGCTAGAGATTGTTGGTCAAACAAGGAGAAGAAATCAGAAGAAGCAAATATAGCCAGAAGTTCTGATGACGAATCTGTGCTATTGATGGCCTCTGAATCTGATGATCTGACAGACTGGTGGTATATGGACACTGGCTGTTCAAATCATCTTACTGGAAACAAGAAATGGCTGGTTGACTTTGACTCTGAAAAGAGAACAAAGATCAGATGTGCTGATGACAAATATCTTAATGCAGAAGGTATGGGAAATGTCAGAGTGACTCTGAACAATGGGAAAATAGCATTGATTCAGAATGTGTGGTATGTACCTGGCATCAGAAGCAATCTGATGAGTGTGGGACAATTAATTGAGAAAGGTTTCTTAGTTACCATGAAGGACAATCTTCTGAAGCTGTATGACTGTAATCAGAAGTTGATTATGGAGTCAGAACAGGGAAGGAATAGAACATTCAAGGTGAATGTCAGAACTGCAGACTCAGAGTGTCTTAGTGCAACAAGTACTGAGAAGGAGAGTGAGTTGTGGCACAGAAGATTTGGTCATTTGAATTTCAGAAGCTTACAACATCTGAATTCAAAGAAATTGGTACATGGAATTCCTGCAATTAAGAAGCCTGAAAAGTCATGCAAAGTTTGCATGGAAGGAAAACAACCAAGATTGCCATTTGCATCAGAAGTTGCTCCAAGAGCAAAACATGCCTTGGGAGTTGTACATTCTGATGTGTGTGGTCCATTTCCAGTAGCATCAATTGGAGGGAATAAATACTTTGTGTTATTTGTTGATGAATTCACAAGAATGACATGGGTATCCCTTATTAAATTTAAACATGAGGTGTTTGATGAATTCAAGAAGTTCAGAATGAAGGCTGAGAATCAGAGTGGTCAGAAGTTGAAGATTCTTAGAACTGATGGTGGAGGTGAGTATAACTCCAAAGAGTTCCAGAAGTTCTGTAAGGAGAATGGAATTGAGCATGAGGTTACTGCTCCTTATACCCCTCAACACAATGGTCTTGCTGAAAGAAGAAACCGTACTTTGCTTGATATGGTGAGAAGCATGCTAAAGGAGAAGAAGCTTCCTCAGAAGCTCTGGGGAGAAGCTGTTGCCACTGCAACGTATGTACTCAACAGATGTCCTACGAAGAAGTTGAAGGAAATAGTTCCTATGCAGAAGTGGACTGGAGACAAGCAAAGTGTTAGTCATCTGAAGGTATTTGGTTCTGTTTGCTATAAACATGTTCCAGAAGCCAGAAGACAGAAGCTGGATGATAGAAGCAAAGTGATGATTCTGATAGGGTACCACAGTACAGGTGCATACAAGCTCTATTGTCCAGAAACCAACAAAATTGAATTCAGCAGAGATGTGATTGTGAAGGAATCAGAAGTTTGGAAACTGGATAAGTCTCAATCTGATTCTGATGTTAGAACTTCTGAAGAAAGGTCAGAGTTAAGAATTTCTGAAGTTGGAATAAATTTTGACGTTGATTCTGACTCTGGAGAAGACTCAGAAGATGAAGGTGACTCTGATGATCCAGACTCTGATGGTAACCCAGATTCTGGTGGAAATTCAGACTCTGAAGATGGCCAAGGCTCTGGAGGAAGTCAAGCCTCTGAAGCTAGAAATTCTGAAGTTCAAGACTCTGGAAATATGCCAGATCCTGAAGTTGGTCAAAGCTCTGGAGAAAGTCAATCATCTGAAGCTCAAGACTCTGAACAAGTTCAGAGACCACAAAGAATCAGAAGCGTTCCCAGAAGATTTGCAGAATTTGACATGCTGCAAGACACTGAAGTAGACTCTGAAGGAGAAGTTATTCAGTGTGCCATGTTAGTAGACTCTGAACCTATAAGTACAGAGGAGGCTCTTAAGCAGAAGCTCTGGCTGAAGGCCATGAAAGAAGAACTTGATGCTATAGAGAGAAACAAGACTTGGAAGCTGACAGAACTTCCAAAAGACAAGAAAGCCATCAGCGTCAGATGGGTTTTCAAGCAGAAGTTAAAGCCAGATGGTTCAATTGGCAAACATAAAGCAAGGTTGGTAGCCAGAGGATTTCTACAGAAACCTGGGCTGGATTATTCTGAAGTGTTTGCACCTGTAGCAAGACATGAAACAATCAGAATGGTGATTGCAATAACTGCTAACAGGAATTGGCCTCTGATGCATTTAGATGTAAAATCTGCATTTCTGAATGGTCCATTAGAAGAAGAAGTTTACGTGTCACAACCTCCTGGATTTGTGAAAAAGAATCAGGAAGGGATGGTGTACAGATTATACAAAGCTCTATATGGATTGAAACAAGCGCCCAGAGCTTGGAATCAGAAGATTGATTCATTTTTCAAGAAACAAGGCTTTCAGAAATGTGAGATGGAGTACGGTGTCTATGTTCAGCATACTTCTGAGGGCAATATGACTCTGGTATGTTTATATGTTGATGATATACTATTGACTGGAAGTTCTGAACAGGAGATAGCCAAGTTCAAGAAGGTTCTAATGAATGAATTTGAAATGACTGATCTAGGCAAAATGACATACTTTCTAGGGATGGAGTTCAGATATTCTGAGAAAGGTATCATTTTGCATCAGCTCAAGTATGAATTAGAACTTCTGAAGAGATTTGATCTGAAGAATTGTAAGATGGCTGTCACACCTTCTGATACAAATCAGAAACTGGATTCAGACTCTGAAGGAAAGGATGTGGATGCTACAACCTTCAAACAGTTGGTTGGTTCTCTGAGGTATCTGTGCAATACCAGACCTGATATTTGCTACTCAGTTGGGATGGTTAGTAGGTTCATGAGTAAACCTAAGTGGTCTCATTACCAAGCTGCTGTCAGGATTCTGAGGTATATCAAAGGAACTCTGAAGTATGGAGTGTTATTTCCCTCTGGAGGAAATAATGAGTCAGAACTTCTGAGTTATTCAGACTCTGATTGGTGTGGAGACAGAGTTGACAGAAGAAGTACATCTGGGTACTTGTTCAAATTTCTGGGAGGTCCCATTTCTTGGTGTTCCAAGAAGCAACCTATTGTGGCGCTGTCAACCTGTGAAGCTGAATATATTGCAGGTGCTGTTACTGCATGCCAAGCTGTGTGGATTCTGAATCTGTTGCAGGATCTGAAGATTAAAGTAGACAAACCTCTGAAGTTGATGATTGACAACAAGTCTGCAATCAACCTTGCCAGAAACCCAGTGCTGCATGGGAGAAGCAAGCATATTGAGACCAAGTATCATTTTCTGAGACATCAAGTTCAGAGTGGAGTGTTAGAAGTTGTACACTGCAGCACTCAGAAGCAGTTGGCAGATGTTCTGACGAAAGCTATCAAGACTGATCAATTTCTCAGATTAAGGGATGGAATTGGTGTTACAAGTTTTGATGGAATATGAATTAAGGGATGGTATTAGAATATTAATGATAATTCATATTTATTTAATTGTACTATTTTCTTAGCCCATAAGTTTGTTAGAGGGTATTTTAGTATTTATCCTATTCTAGTAACCCTAGTTTTAGCTTATAAATAGGGTGACAATCATTGTAACCAAAAATCATGTTTTGTAGCCGTCATTCTCTTATTAGTAATATTTCTTACTTCATCATTTATTCTATCTTTGCACCAACACTAATGGAGTGTCTCATTGACAAGATAAGCGTCAAAATACAACTATGAATTAGTAGTCTCGTATTACTTAACTCAAACAAGAGAACAATTTCTTATAATTAAAAATCTTCTTGACAAAGTGGTGGTGAGACTATGTGCTCTTTAACTATACAAAAATTAATCAAAAATTAATTTTCATAACAAAAATGATGATTTCCTTGAACACAAATCTAGGAGATTAATATCACAATCCTAGTTAAATTAATCAAATTAATTAGTCATTAAAGTTGAAAATGTTGACTACATATCTACTCTCTGGTTTCTGCATCCATCCTCAAAAAGGTATCAAACATCCAAACAACACGATCTCTTCTTCTATCCCAAACCAAACCACGACACTTCAACCAATTCGTCTCCTTCATTTCCTCTTCCATTTCTCAATTCAATTCTCCATTCACTAATTTTTCCAATCCCATCTCTTTGAAATTCAACATTTCACCTATAACACCACACACCTTAACATGTTCAGATCAAGAGCTAGCTGAACTCGAAACAGTGACTCACTGAGTTCGATTGATAACCATGGCTATCACAACTCGTCAAGCTAAACGACGAATTGGGTTATGGTTAAAGATGACAGCTGTAACAATTTCGGGTCTTTGTTTTATTTTTGTTTGGACTGTGCTTTCATCTTCGTCTTCTTCTTCTGTTACTTTTCAAAGGGAAAGTTTTGAAGATATTCAAGAACCTGTTTCTTCTTCTTCTTCTTCAAGTGTTCATAAACAAACAACACCCAGTGAACAAAATCATGTGGAAGAATCAAAAGATCATAAATTCAGTGAGAGTGGTGAGAAAAAGGTTAATGGGTCATCTTCTATTCATTCTTCCACGCGCCCTCGTGAGAAAGAAGCGGCGCGTGAGAAGAAACACGCGCATAATAAAGAGAATGTGAGTCAAGGGTCATTGGAGAAAGAGAAAGAAGAGGAGGGTGAAGAAGAAGAAGAAAGATTGGAATTGGATCATGAGAGTGATGAATCTGTGGATGGAGACTCTGAGGTGTTGGAAGATGAAAACATGGAAGAGTTGAAGAAAACAAAGAAAGGAAAAGTGAAAGGGCCTTTGTTTGATTCAAATGTTAACTATAGGTGGAAAATGTGCAATGCTAGAAGCAAGCATAACTACATTCCTTGCATTGATATTGAAGTTGGTGGTGGAAAGGTGCAGAGTTACCGGCATTCGGAGAGGAGTTGTCCGAGGACACCTTTCATGTGTATGGTTCCTCTTCCTCTTGAAGGGTATAAGTCTCAAGTTCCATGGCCTGAGAGTAAATTGAAGGTATATGAAAAGTATGTTAAGTTTAAGGTCTTGTTTGGATTAATTAGTTTCTAGATTATGAGTTTATGATTCTTCACTTGTAGCAAGTGTTAGTGTTATGTTGCGGTTCTTTGTTATCTCATGGTAACATTTGGTGTCAGTGCAGATATTGTATAAGAATGTTGCGCATCCGAAACTATCTGCATATATAAAAAAGCATAATTGGTTGGTGGATTCGGGTGAATATCTTACTTTCCCTCAAAACCAGACTGAATTTTTGGGAGGGATTCAGCACTATCTTGAGTTCATTGAAGAGGTGAGCTTTCTATTAGAATGATGCTTGTTTGTTGCTTGGTTCCTATTGAACATAATAGTTTTTCGATAATATTTGCTGCCGTCATCTTTGGAAACATCTTGAAGCTTGTTCTGAAAATTTTAGATGGTACCAGACATTGAGTGGGGTAAAAATATTCGTGTTGTCCTCGACATTGCATGCACGGATTCAAGCTTTGCAGCTGCTCTCCTTGATAAGGATGTTTTAACATTGTCACTTGGTTTGAAAGATGACCTAGTCGACTTAGCTCAGGTGGCACTCGAGCGAGGCTTCCCAACCTTAGTTAGCCCTTTTGCTAGAAGGAGACTTCCTTTTCCAAGTCAAGTTTTTGACGCAATACACTGTTCGCGTTGCCGTATACCTTGGCATTCCAATGGTTTGTGTCCGTGTCTTAAGATTTTCTATTTATTTTCCAATGGTAGATTGAAGTTGAACCGATCTTTTGTATTTTCAGGGGGTAAGCTTCTATTGGAGATGAATCGGATTATAAGACCCGGCGGATACTTCATTATGTCAACTAAACATGATAGCATTGAAGAAGAAGAAGGTTGGTCTCATTTAGCGGAAAACTCTAAATACGTTTTTGTATATGTCAATGCTTTTGTGAGAGATATGAACCTTGTTTTGCATCATACATAGAAACTTAACGTTCCTTCTTTGTTTCAGCCATGACAGCGATGATAGCGTCTATATGCTGGAATGTTCTGGCACATAAAAGCTATGATGTTGGTGAAGTTGAAGTAAGAATATATCAAAAGCCTGAAGGAAATGACTTATACGAATTGAGAAGGAAGAAGATCCCACCGATTTGCAAAGAAAACGAAAATCCTGATGCAGCCTGGTATGCTGCTGAAACATTATATGATGATTTATTTCTAATCCGCTTAAGGTTGTTATTTATTAGTCGGTTATTTTACAACATTTTTTTGAATAGGCATGTTCCAATCAAGACTTGTTTGCACACCATTCCAATTGGAATTGAACAACATGGGGCAGAGTGGCCTGAGGAATGGCCGAAGAGGCTCGAAACTTATCCAGACTGGATAAGCAATAAAGAGAAATTGATCGCGGACACCAACCACTGGAATGCAATTGTTAACAAATCATATCTTAATGGAATGGGCATTAACTGGGCAAATATCAGGAATGTATTGGACATGAGATCCATCTATGGAGGGTATGCCAGCAAAACCGAATTGATTTTAAGTTCATTGCATCAATATGTCAGCTGCATTTTTCTTTTATACTGCCAGAGACTTGAATATAAACAAAAAAGTACATGTATTTGGTAAAAAATACGAACCAGATACATGTAATTTTTTGCTTATATTAAGTAGGTCATCACATATTCATTACATATGCTACTTGACTACATTGAATCATTTCCTACATCTTGTTAAAAACATGAATAAAATCAAATTAATAATTCTCCTATTAAAATACAGATTGGCTGCAGCTCTATCTAAACAGAACGTTTGGGTGATGAATGTAGTCCCTGTTCATCAACCGGATACACTTCCCATAATATTCGAACGTGGATTTTTTGGTGTCTATCACGATTGGTGCGAGTCGTTCGGTACTTATCCAAGAACATATGACCTTCTGCATGTTGATCATCTGTTCTCACGCCTCAAAAACAGGTATTGGTGAATTTTTTTTATAAGCTATTTTCATAATCGGTCTCAAACACTTACACGAACGTTTATGTCGTAAGTCTGAATATGATGTAAGTCCGCTAAGTGAGACTTGTGACCAAATTATTTTAACAACTATTTTGCAGATGCAAGCAGCCTGTGTCGATTGTTGTTGAGATGGATCGTATCTTACGGCCGGGCGGGTTGACAATCATTCGCGACAAAGTTGAAATTCTAAATTCATTGGAGGAAATACTGAGAAGTATGCATTGGGAGATCAGAATGACTTTCCACCAGGAAAGAGAGGGAATCATATGTGCACAGAAAACTACATGGAGGCCTTGAATCCTCAATTATATGCCATTTTTTTTATCATCAATTGATTCAATTTCAATGATATTCTTTTCTTCAACTTACAATGAAGTTTGTAAACAATACTTTATTATTTTAATTTTTTGTTGTAAAAATTACTACTTTATAGTTGCTACTATTGATTGAAGAAATACAATTATAGGCGTGCAAGTCAGACTACAACACGAATCTATAATTTTTCACGGATAAACCGTGGTTAAATTAAGTCTCATTACACATTTATCATGGTTAAACTCTAGTAAAATAAAGCTCCGTATATGTTTTTCCACGGTATCACCGTGACTAAATTGAAAATTTTACATAGGACCTCCAAAGTTTAAGATGTTTTTGAGCCGATATATTGTTGAAATTTAGAATTTCAATATTGTTAATGAGATATATTGTTGAAATCTAGAACTCCGACATTAACGCGGACAAAACCATTTTCATTGACAATACATAACATCAAGCTAGTTGATGTTTCATAGTTTCTCTGCATCTTCCACTGATTTCACCTTAACTTCTTTTGCCAATTCAAGTGCATGAATCAAACTTTTCAAATAAACTTCTACATCGCCAGAAGAACTCTTTGGCATCAAATGCTCAGCAACATCAGCTGGAGTAATTTCAACTTCCTCCAACAACTCACATATTGTATCAAACAAATAATGTGACTCAATATTAAGATAATTCTTAGCCAACATCTTGAATGCCTCAAATCCACAATAAGATAACTCTATATGTTTATCCATTCTACCTTTTCTAACCAATGCAGGATCCAATTTCTCAACATAATTTGTTGTGAAAACTATTAGTCTTTCACCACCACATGCAGACCATAATCCATCAATGAAATTCAATAATCCAGAAAGTGTTACTTGACTCATTCTCCCATCTCTTTCTTCCATATTACCTCCACCTTTTTTCTCCTCCTCGTCCCTTTTCGCCTTTTTCTTCGTCCTCTGACCGGTTAAATCAAGCGAACAATCTATATCTTCGATCACTATTATAGATTTACTCGACGTCTCAATCAAAAGCTTCCTCAATTCAGTATTATCCTTCACAGCAGTCAACTCAAGATCATAAAGATCATAGCCTAACAAATTCGCCATAGCTGCAATCATCGTCGATTTTCCCGTTCCCGGAGGACCATATAGCAAATAGCCTCTTTTCCAAGCTCTACCAATTCTTCCATAGAATTCACCAGCTTTACTAAACGTAACAAGATCATCAATAATCATTTTCTTCTTCTCTAAATCCATAGCCAATGTTTCAAATGTTGATGGATGTTCAAACACAACATGACTCCAATAAGAACCACTATTAGTATAAAGCTTTCTCTGCCTATTCCTCACCTTAATTGCTTTACCTTCTTTTAGTACAAAACTAAGATAACTACCTAAAATCAAATCTCTATTAACTTTATGAAAAGTTAGTTTATAGTACCTTTTCTCATCTATGTTATGATGAAGTGAAAATGAATTTGGCTTTGATACATTTTTGCCACTAGCCCACCAAAGTTTAACTCCATTAAACTCATCACTGACTTCTTCATGATCATCCATGCTAAGAACAAGTGATTGATTATTCTTAGCTATGTCACCTTTGAGTCTCTTTGCTTGTGTTGAAGCTTTTGTGCTAAGGTAATTCTCTATGGAAGAATAAGCTTCACTTCTCATGAGTTTTTGTTCACCAGTGAATTCATGAAATGTGATTTGGATATAAGGGTAGATCAAAGTTGCAAGTTTTTGTGAGTATTTTTCAATTTGGTTTCTTAGTTGATAAGGAAAATATTGTTGAAAAATAGCCCAAAAGAACATCATGGAAGCTATTATGGATCCTATTTGAGCAAACATGTCGGTTTGTTTCATTGTTTTTCTTCTATGATGTTTGTGTTTTCTAAGCTTTGTCTTATATAAAGGTGAAGGATATGTGATAATGTCTACGTGTGTATTGTGTCTCAAAGAGAACTAGTTTATTTGTTATCTTTGTGAATAATATTATGTGGCTATTATACAATATAAAGTTGATTGATATCTTTGTGTATATCTTCAAAGGTTCGGTAGAAAAAGTAGAAGCCAATTTCCCTTTTGATTGATGGTTTGAATTGTACTAATTTGTAATAACAATTAAGAATACCAACTCAAAGAAAACTAAAAAAGAATTACTGAATTCTAATTCAGGCTCCGTGTTTGCGACTTCATAATGATTGTAGTAAGAGTATTCAAAATCGAACCGGTTCAATAAAAAACCGAAAATCAAATTAAAATATGAGTCATTTATAAGTAAATATGAGTCATATTTCACATTTAGATACTCATATAGCAAAATGAAGCAAATCGATTTGGAGTAGGTATCATGGATCATGACTTATTTGTATTACATCATTTCTATTTTGTGTTGGTCTTTAGGAAAGTTGAAAAGTCACTAGATAAGATGAAATCAAACCTGATTTTTATCATAAAATATGATGCTACTTTATGTGTCATTTATCTATTTATTTATTCTCATGTAAACGCCAATATGGAAATGGTGATTTAGTATACTTTAATACAAAGGATAAAAGCTCACATAACAATGTTTTTAAACCACACTTTATCCAATAACTTGCAAATAGTACTGCAATACAAACTAAAAATATTCATAATTCAAAGTAACACCCATCTTCTTAATAATACTAAACATTCAACCTACTTTGTTATAACGCCAAAACTACAAATTTTGAGTTTGTAATTCAGCATAACCATAACATTATTTCATATTAACCATAATATTAATCTAACTATAAGACTCTAATGTAAACTTAGAAATAGATATTCATGCTTTATAAGACTCTAATGTAAAATAACTAACAATATTGGTTAGGATTTTCCATTATCAATCTCTTTCTCAGGGAAGCTTTTCTTGTCTTCTGCAGAATCCTCTTCATCAGTGCTTTCTTCTTTCTCAGCCTTCTTCTTTGCTTCTTCCTTAGAGCTTCTAAGTGCTTGAATCAGCCTCTCCAATGATGTTTCAACATCTTCATTAGCTACCTTAGGCATCAAGTTTTCAGCCACATCAGCAGGTGTGATATTGCTCTCTTCCAACAGACCTCGAACCGTCTCGAACAAAGGATGTGTTTCAACACTCATGTAATTCATAGCCAACATTTTGAATCCATCAAAACAACAATAAGATAACTCAATGTGCATGTCCATTCGTCCTCGACGAATCAGCGCTTTATCGAGTTTGTCAACATAGTTAGTAGTGAAGATAATCAATCTCTCACCAGTACTAGCAGACCAAATCCCATCAATGAAATTCAACAATCCAGAAAGTGTTACCTGACTCGTTTTATTCTTATTTGCTTCATCTTTTAACTGAATCATGGAAGCAGCAACAACTTGATTCATCTCATTTTTCTCATTCTTTTCATCTTTTTCATTTCCATTCTCAGATGATGTCTTCCTCTGACCGGTTAGATCAAGCGAACAATCGATATCTTCGATAACAACAACCGACTTACTCGTGATTCCGATCAAAAGCTTCCTTAACTCAGCATTTGTTTTCACATTAGTTAACTCAATATCATATATATCATACTTCAAAAAATTAGCAATAGCAGCAACTAAGGATGATTTTCCAGTTCCTGGAGGACCATATAGCAAATAGCCTCTCTTCCAAGGCTTACCAATTCTTGCATAATAGTCCTTACCTTTACTAAATGTAACAAGATCATCCACAATCTCTTTCTTTTTCTTACCATCCATCGCAATCGTTTCGAAAGACGATGGATGATCGAAAATCACATGACTCCATTTACCTCTCTTATCAGAATCACTAGTGCAATTTGTGTAAAGCTTTCTCTGTCTCTTACTCAAACCAACCTCCTTACCTTGTTCAAGAACATGGTTAAGGTAAGTTCCTGCGACGATATCACGGTTTCGGCGGTGAAAGGTTAGAAGGTAATACCTTTTGTCATCCGCTGGATAGAATGAAACAGAATTTGTTTTTTGAACAATCTTTCTTAAACTCCAAACAACGTTAATCCCTTGAAACTGATCATGAAAGTCTTGTCTTTCATCCATTTTGAGAACGAAAGACTTTCTGAGAGATTCGCCTCGGAGTTTCTTTGCTTGGTTGGTTGGTTTGGATTCTAAGTAGTGTTCAATGAAAGTAAAAGCTTCATTGGTTCTATAGGAATCACCAATGTACTCAAAGAATTTAACCTCCACATAAGGGTAAAAAAAGTTGGCTAGTTTTTGTGAGAGTTTTTCTATGAGTGCATGGATTTGATGAGGACAATACCTTTGAATCATAGCCCATATGAACAAAATGCTTGCAAGCTTTGAACCAATTAGACCCCAAATTTCACCCATGTTTGTGTTTTTTTTCTTTCTTTCTGTGTGTTTAAACTTTGTTGAGTTTGTATGTGTATATAACATAGTTAAGGATCATTTGTTTATAGTGAGTTTGTTATGGTTAAAGACAAAAGACAAAAGATAATCATGAGATTTTGATAGTTGAAGTGAATCAGACTTGCATGTCTTTTTCATACTACACTGTTTCATAACAGCTTAGACTTTGACCACATGCAAAAAAAGACCAACATAGTAATACACAAAAGTTACATGAGTTTATAAATTAATGGGGTAGGTAAGTTATTTAATTAATTTTGGGGAGTTCATTTGAAATGATTAAAACAAGTTAATCACTACTAACATTGATTTTAATTTTAAAGTTGAATCTAACTTCAATAAATATTTGCGGTTTCTTTGCTAACTCTTAGAGTGAAATTTATTGTTCAAGTTGTTTTTATGTGTTGAATTGAATTAGAATCCATCCTTGCAACAGGTTACCGAAGGTATGATCAGAAGTTATAGTTGTTCTGAATTTAGTGTGTTATCATATAACAACCGTTCTGAGTAAGGTTAGAGGATGTGGAAAACTTTATGTATCTTCTTCATTCTTTTTCTTAGGGTGGTTTAGTATTGAAACAATCAATTAGAAGACAGAGGTAAAGTGAGTCTAGGCTTGTTTTGGGATGAACATGCGTGAAAAGGTAGTGTTAGGGAGCGGTGGATATCTATTATTGTACTTTCGTATTCTTAAGTAATTGAGTCTCAAATCACCTCCAAAAATTTTGGAGGAGTCCATCAAAAGTAAGATTTTTTTTCTCTGAACTGGATTACCAAAGTGTTTGTTATGTTTATTATTCTTGATTGTTCTTGTGTTATATTTTGTTATATGTGATTATGTTACTAGAAATTTCTTACTTCGATTACTTTGGTGTTTGTTTCCGCTGTGCCAAGAAACCATAACAATTGGCATCAGAGCTTTGATTGGTTCATATGCAAGGAGATAAGTCTAATCGAAGAAGAAAAGTTGATTGATCGGGAGGTGCAACCATGTTAGCATTTGTAGAGGTGATTTAATCGAGAGTCAACGTAAATTGAATCTAAGTTAGTTATGGCGAAGTTTAATGTGGAGAAGTTCAATGGCAAAGATGATTTTGCATTGTGGAGTGTAAAGATGCTGGCATTGCTCGTGCATCAAGAACTGGACAATGCACTAGAAGGAGAAGCAAAGCTTCCAAACTCGCTTAATGAGCAGGAGAAACGAGGAATCCTAAGCCGAACTCATAGTGTGGTCATTCTGAGTTTGGGGGTTGAGGTGCTACATGAATTTTGGAAGGAGAAAATAACTATCAGATTATAGTTGAAGCTCGAAAGCTTGTACATGACTAAGACTCTAGCAAACCAGTTATATCTAAAGCAACGCCTCTATGCGTTGAAGATGCAATCGGGGACATCGATAGAAGAACACCTTGATGAATATAATAGGCTTATTTTCGATTTGAAAAATATAGAAATTAAATTGGATGATGAGGATCAAACATTGACGTTGATCTGGTCTCTTACCAGCCTTATGATACTCTTGTAGTTACTTTGATCTATGGAAGTGATTACATATCTCTAGAGGAGGTTTAGGAAGCCTTGATGGCCAAAGAACTGTCCAAGAAGGCGGGTTTCAATGAAGTGGAGGTCGGGAAAAACCTTAGTGCTAGAGGAATAAGTTCGAATAGGGAGTGGAATGGGAAGAAGAAGTCAAGGTCGAGATCCAAGAGAGGTCACCCCAGGTTGAAATGTTTCCGCTTCCATAAAGAAGGACATTTCAAGAGGGATTGTCTGACTAAGAACAAGAAAGTTAGAGAATGGATTAATGATGTGTCTTTATCATCAGACGCGTACGAGGAGAAGAGAAGAAGGAAGCAACGATGTGTCTTTATCATCAGACGCGTACGGGAGCTCAGAAGTTTTGGTGATGTCCAACATGCAGGCCTGTATGGATCGATCATTGGATTAGGGATGCTCCTATCACATGTGTATAAGGAGGGACTAGTTTAATCAGTACAAGTAACATGAAGGCAGTTAGTTGACGATGGGGAACAATGTTACATGCAATGTAATGGGAATTGGTTAAGTCAAAATCCAATTCTGTGAAGGGACCATCAAGACCCTGGCAAATGTGAGACATGTACGAGAACTAAAACGAAGCATTATCTCAATAGGGAAACTTGATGAATAAAGGTATTACTTTAGGGAATAGAACTCAATCTTGACGATACTGAAGGGATCAAGGGTAATGATTAAAGGGAAATTGTGAAAAATTGCTTGTATGTTTTGAAGTCTTAATCTATTGTTGATTGAGTAGAAGTCTTGAATTCATGGAATCTAAGCAAGGAAGTCTTGTACCTGAAGGATATGAGCAGAAGTCTTGAACCCGTGGGATTTGAGCAAAAGTCTTGGACCAAGGGTCTAAGCAGAAGTCTTAAGCCTGAGGGGCTTGAGCAAGGAAGTCTTGAACCTGAAGGTTTTAAGCAGGAAGTCTTGGGCTGAGGGTTTAAGCAAGAAAATCTCGGGCTGAGAGTCTGAGCAAAAAGTCTTATACTTAAGTGTATAAGTAGTTATAATCATATTTTGATTATAGTGTAAAATCTCTTATGTTGCAAGGAGAATGGATACTTGATACTCTCTCTAAGTATTACTGGTTACTCTTTGCCACCTTGACAGATTCCTATAATATCTTATTTTCCTCAGTTGTGTCTCTTTGAGATCTGTTACTTATTCTCCTGTGGTATTCCCTTTGTTCTCTCCTTGCAGTAGTTTGTCTTATGTGGTATCATTCCTCACAGAATTTTGAGTCTTGCATTCATATCATATCATAAGCATATTTGTGGTATCTTAAGGCCAAAAATTGCGCATGTTTGTATTAAGCCTCTCCGATCTTGTCGAGTCAAAAATTTCAATCTTCATATCTCCGGATTGAAGAAACTTAAATAAGGGCATCTGTCATACTCTAATTTTTATCCCTAAGATCCCACATCTTTTTGCATCAACTACATAGTCTATCATGTCTTTCATCATTATAATGCCCAAGTTATCAGCCATAATAAAGTTGTTAGATTTATAGTAAATTGGTCAAACTAAAAGTCAACTGTTCGTAAAATCAGTGGATAAAAAATTTTAAAATTGGGCTTGCAAACGTCAGTCATATTAATCTATGTTCCGCGTAATTTAACCTGGTGTGATCGACTCCCGAACTCAGATATTGATTGCGATGACCATATCCTTGTCCTTTCTTTTTAGATGTTTTATTTGATATTTTCCCTTTCCCTCTATGGAAAAAAATAAAGATCGGTGACGACTTTGTTAAGTCCATCCCGCGAGCGTGCGATTGCGTTTCGCGAGGTCGTTCTCATTTTTCGAGGTACGACACTCATTATTGTTGAACATCAACTTCACATTTAATATATAAAAATCATATTAGACAAAAGTTGAATAATAAACATAAAACAATATCAAAAACATTATAATATAATAAAAATAAAATATAAGAGATGAGAGATTAGTGAAGATGAAAAAGAAAGATCAAATGAGGGAAGAGATTAGAGAAGAAGAGGTGCAATAAAAAAGAATTTGGAAAAGAGAACATTAACATAAAAATGAGAAGGTGAAAATGAAAGAATATAAGAGAGTAGAAATTACAGAAGAAAAGACAAGATGCATCTAGTGAAGAAGACACAATATTGCTATGAGAGATTTGAGAAGGTTGAAACTGAAATATTAAGTGCGAGAAAGAAAAAATCACTTGTAATCGTAAAGTTAAAGCATAATAGCTTTAGGTTTGGTTAAATGTGAATTAAGTAAAATTTGGATTGTAACATAATACAATTTGATTCGGTTTGATTTGGTTTGAAAAATACAAACCACAAATTAAATAAAACATCGCATTTTCGTTAAAATATAACCCAAACACATTCAAACTAAATACTGTTTTTTTCTTTTTGGTTTTCATTTTTCTTTGACTCAATTTTCAATTTTCTATTTGTAGAAGCAAGCTTCAAGGCCTTTGTGTTTTGATGAAGACAACTCATACAACCTTGGTACGCAAGATACTTATGATATATACCCGTAAGGGTATATATATTGAAGATGTTTATACTATTCACCCGTAGGGGTACATATTGAAGATGAAACTAGAAGCACCTTTCTTCTGAATTCTTCTCAAAATGCAAGAGTCGCAAGCAAGCAAACCAAATCAAGAAAGTATCATCGCATATGACTTTATAGATCAAAGCTTCGTCTACAAGCTACAAGTGATGATGATGATTCAAGGAACGGTATAACACTTTTTACTTTAGAAATTTTATACAAGTGTTCTTAAAAATCACTTTTCACTGCACAATTATCCCAACACTTTCAAAACTTTTTTAAAATACTTATTCTATTTTAAATTAATTATTTTTACAAAAACCTTCAGTGTTAACCGATTAACCTGTGGGGTTAACCGATTAACATACTTCAAAATTATGTATTTTGGGACTACATAACAGTGTTAATCGATTAACATATGGAAATTTCAAATATTTTTAAACGTTGGAAAGGTGTTAACCGATTAACCTATTTGGTTAACCGATTAACACTGTAACAACAACAAAAAATAGCAGCTTTTTATGGAGGATTGCATTGTTCTATATTTTCTTACTCGCTATTTTTTACTATCCCAAAATCACACCTGTTTGAAAAGGTTTTTCACTCATATAAGTTGATTGCTATTTCAAAATAAAAAACAACCCCACAACAACCTTCAAGAAACAAATTTATCAAATTACTCTTTGTCTTCAACCTTTTGAATTTTCATTAAGTGTTCAAATCATATTTTGAAAGAAGCCATTAAAATAACTTTCACATTCTCAAAGTCTTCTTTCACAAAGAACACTTGTATATTTTATCTGAGTATAATTTGTTTCAAGAAGAAGATCAACCTTGAAGATTGATAAACAACTTTCCATCAAATATTTTCTCAAGAACATTTTTGTGTATTACCTTGTTGTCCAGGTGTTGGAAACAAGTGAAGTGTATTGAAGAGGATTGTTCTTCAACACTTCGAATTACCTATAGGTTTAGATAGTAAGCATCACTTTTGATGTGATTAGGCTTTACAAAAATTATGAACTATAGTGAAATTCTCTTTCGAGTCGAAAGGAGAGTGAAGTACCTTCGGAGTGTGAAGGGAACCACTATAATTTCCTGTGTCTCTTTTTTCCTGCATTTACCTTCTGTCACTAACTAATAACCGGAAAAAGAACCAAGGAACCATACAAGATTGCATCAAATTTTTAAAGATCCTAATTCACCCCCTCTCTTAGGCGCAGTTACTAATTACACTATTAGATTGAATTTTGAACATCTTTAATCTAAACATTCAAGACAAAAAGTTAAAATATTAAAGAAATGATAAAAGGAAAAAAATCTATCATCAGTCACAATTTCAAATTTATTATTATTTATCATTTAACTTTCTTAAGAAAAAATACGCACAACTTCTCACATCCAACGCATTAGGAAGTTGTAATTTGATCATCACTTACATATTTTTTATAGTCTTCGTTCTGGCCTGGGCCCCGGCGTGGCCAGGCAGGCCCAACCCAGTAATATCCTGCCAAGCTCAGTCCAGCTTGAGCCGCAGCCCACGAGCACAAGGTCCCCGACAGACAGGTAATGCCCATCCGCGGGGAGAACCTACCCCTTCTGTGTCGAGCACAAGACTCTCCCGTCGGCCAGACACTGCCCCCTCCGCGAGCAGAACCTGCTCCTCTGTCGGGCAGGACAACGTGTCCATCACACGTTCTCCACGTGCTCCCCTCCGCGGGGACACGTCACCGACCAACTGCCCATCTTCGAAAGAGCAGGTCAAACTCACTTTTCGGAGATCACGGGACAGTTGAACTAGGGCGAAGACCACGTCCTGGTCTTCACTACGCCACGTAAGCCCTAGCAGTCACCTGGGTTGGGCCTGACAATCCAACCCAACACAAGTGACCGTTGGCCCAACGCTGAAGTCTCTCTATAAATACCCTCTTTCACAAGAGGGTCAGGTAATTCGCTTCTTACCCCTTTTCTGTATTTGCTCTCATTCTGCCCAATTCCTTACTTTGGCATCAGAGTGTCTTGCAAGTACACCCCTCCTCCTCTTCAACACCAGTGAGTCGAAGGCGCGTGGTAGCCAGCGATCCCTTTTTGATCAGGTCAGATCAGGCTTATATATTTTAAGTTCATTGAAGTTGTAATTTGATCATTACTTGCAAATTTTTTTATAATCTTGTATATTCTAAGTTCACTTGGAAGACAAAATAAACTAATCAAATCAATGTCATATGTCTAGTAGAACTAACATAATACTTAATCATAATCATGTAAGTGTAAATCAAATTGAAGACATGTAATAAAATTGTTAAACTTCATTACTTTTACTTTAGATTCCTACAACCTTTGTGAATTCAAAAACCCTTAAAAAAGATTCGTTAATATCATCTACTTAACTATATCATATTTAAGACAATCATCTATTGATTTTGATTAACAACTTATTTGTCTTTAAGAATAAAAGTAAAAAGAAATAAAAAGGACAATAATGTACACATATTTTAACTTGAAGTTTCTTGATAATAATTAAATAGTAAAAAAGATTTTGTTTTAATTTTCATGTTTATTCATCTTGTGCTACATGGTGATCAAGTTCATGCGAACCGGCTCTTACAACTTTAAAACTCTTTCCCACGGCATTCGCCACCACTACACACGCATGTCGCACCCTTCACCGCTCCACCATTTCTGATTCATCACCATGTCGTTGTCTTCAGTCCACGCTCATCTCACACTCCTCGCTCTTTTATCCGCCACAACCTTTTATTGCTTCTACAAGTCTCGCCGCTTAAGAAACCTCAAGCTAACAACACTCTCTCTTAACCCTAACCCTAACCCTAACCCTAAGATCCTCTTTCTTTCCGAAACCGGCACTTCCAAATCCCTCGCTAACCGTCTCCATCGTTTTCTCGCTTTAAACGGCGTCGTTGTTGACCTTATCGATGGCAGAAACTACGAGCCTGAGGATCTTCCCAAAGAAACGCTCATTCTCATCGTTGCTTCCACCTGGGAAGACGGAAAACCGTCGCCTGCTTATAGATTCTTCGCGGATTGGCTCGCTGAGAGTTCCGAAGACTTTCGAGTTGGTTCTTTACTGCTCTCGAAGTGTAGGTTTGCGGTTTTTGGTGTAGGTAGCGGAGTTTACGGGGAAAATTTCAATGCGGTTGGTAAGGATCTCGGTAAACGGATGAAAGCGCTGGGGGCTGCTGAGTTGATTCCGTTGTGGGAAGGGGATGTTGATGGTGGTGACTTGGATGGGGTTTTTGATCAGTGGTGTGGGAAGGTGGTTGGATTGTTGAAAGGGGATGGTGATGTTGTTGGTGATTTGGAGAACGGGGATGCAGAATATGGTGTTTTGAGTTCTGATGAAGAGGAATCTGACGAGGAAGAGGCGGAGTCGGAGATTGTTGATCTTGAAGACATTGCTGGTAAAGCTCCTTCGAGGAGGTCGGTCGCAACAGTGAAGGAGACTAATGGGAAGTTGAATGGCAAGAAAGAAATGGTGACTCCTGTGATTAGAGCAAATTTGGTGAAGCAGGTATTGTACTTTCTGTAATTCATATATGCCTTACTGGTGGCTTACATATTGTTCTCAGTTGAATTTTGTTAAATAAGATATGAATTATGACTCTGTAAAAATATTATGAGTTTGCAGGATATGATATATGATATAGGGTTTAGGGTTTAAGCTTATTTAGTGTTCTCAATTGAATTTGGTTAGATAATATATGAATATGATTCTGTAAAAATATTATGAGTTTGCAGGGATATAAGATTATCGGTTCACATAGTGGTGTCAAGATTTGTAGATGGACCAAGTCACAGCTTCGAGGTCGAGGTGGTTGCTACAAGCATTCATTTTATGGAATTGAGAGTCACAGGTAACAGTTACTTGGCTTTTTGTCACTTTCTTAAGTTTTCGTGTGGTTAGAAACTTAGGATTTTGTTTTGGTGGTCTGAACTTTCTTCATGTGTCATGCTCGATGATAACTCTATTATCACATGTCATTGTGTAATTCATTTCCTTATTTATGCCAACTGAAATCTAAGTCTTAAATTAAAATGGAGCTTATTAGTTTGTTGATATACGATTCATTGATGATGTGATACTTTTTAATTGTTGGTAGATTGAACTTAAATTTGCATAAAAAGCAATTTGTAAAGTAATCAGGAAGTTAAAAGAAACATGGTGTATCTCTATTTAAAAGTAACTTTGAGTCAGTATTTGACATGGCTGTGGAGATACTTGTTTTGGAGTCATACTTTCTGTTGCACATTTGTTAGCTTTTGATTCTGATTCATGGGTTTTGACCACAATTTATTTGTGCCTGTTAAATGCGGATTACTCTTCTATTTTGTGTATTGGCAATCATACTTAAGCTGTCATATTCACTGTTTCAACTTTTGTATGAGTGAAACAGATGCATGGAGGCAACCCCTAGCTTGGCATGTGCAAATAAATGTGTTTTCTGCTGGAGGCATCACACAAATCCAGTAGCAAAAAGTTGGCAATGGGAGATGGACGATCCATTAGAGATCGTAAATTCCGCAATAGAGCAGCATACAAATATGATTAAACAGATGAAAGGAGTTCCTGGTAAGTTTTTGTTTCTAGGCTTTTATCATTTCAAAACTATGACACCATTCATTGATAGGTAGATGGACTTGCGTAGGTTAATAGCAGTGTTATTGGTGGTGGATGGCGGTTTATGGAAGTGAGCCAAAAATCTTCCATAAACACATAGCAGATGGCAGATTACTTGTATATAACCATACACACTCAAAAATAACCCGCAGAAATAAATAAAACACTAATTATTAATCAGAAATAAAAACCAAATTCAGTTAATTTAAAAACTGGGTGTCTAAAATAAACAGTTAAAAACAGATTTAATATAATTTAAAAAACAGAAAAAAAGAGAAGTTCAAACAGAGCAAATAAAGAATGAAATATCAAAGAAAAAATAGTTCAGAAAATGTAGAATAGAAAGAACCAAATAAATACAAGAAAAAGAAGCAAAACATTTATTAGAATAAGAAAAATAGAAATCAGAGAGAAAAGAGAGCTAGTTGCGTCTCTGTAGAGAAGAGAGAGCTTGGTGCATCTTAGTGGAGAAGAGAGAGCTTGGTGGTCTTTGCAATGGGTGGTGCCATGGTTGTTACAAACTGTAGGGTGGTGGTCGTATGCATTAGAAGAAGAGAACAGGTAGAGAGTAGAAGGAGAAGCGTGTTGAGAAGAGGGTAAACTGGTAAATTATCCAATTTTTAGGGCTTATTATTGTTATTTTTGCCCATACTGGGCCCAGGACCGGGTCAACCCTAACATTTCCCCTGTAACTTATGAAAAAAATATGCTTTTCCTGCCGCCATGTCCATTACCTTCGTAGTGTCCGCCATGCAAAAGCTGTCACGCCGTCGCCTTTCTATGCCCGTGTGTTGGAATCCCGTCATTTGCCATGGTCGAAATTCAACAACACCGTCGCTTCTCTATGCCTGTGTGTTGAAATTCCGTCATCTGCCATGGTTGAAATTCAACAACACTGTTTAAAATTGAATTAGCTAGAGTTGCTCTCAATCATAACATGCACTGTTCAGTCACCACGCATTATGCACTAAGGGATATGATTGTGTAAGAGGAGTGTTATGAATGCAAATAGCAGAATATATAAAACAGTAGGAAATGATGAAAAATTGTACTAATAATCAGTGCAGCAGTACAATTACCCTTTGAAGGAAATGGAAAGATGAAATCTAAAGAATAGTACTAGAAAAGCATAAGCTTCAGAGAGAGAAGAGAGCCATATTCTTCTACATTCAATTTCCCCCCCCTTTAGTAACCAATCATTGGCCTATTTAACATATTCAGTGGCATATTTTCTGTTAGAGCTCCTTTCTCTCATTCCATGTCTTGGCTCCGGAAAAGCAGGATCTTGTGCCAAGTGTCCATCATTCTCATTGGATTCAGTTGTTGTATTGACTATTCTGCCCTCACTCATAACAAGGAGTTTGAGGGGAAAAGAAGGGAGAGTAAATTCTTTCACTTTAATATTCTCTTATTTGATTTTTGTTCTAGTATGAGATTGCTGTGTAACCTTTACTTGATTTTATTCTCTACTACCTGTCCCTAAATATATACATTTTCGTCGTTACTTGAGTAGACTTGCATAGGCTTGTATATGTTCTTATAGAATCATGAATTTGAGGATATTTCATTGAGCCTACAACATACTGGTTATTTTCATCACCACATGCTTAAAATGTAAGTGGTGTAATGTTTTTTGAAACCCAAAAAAAGTCTCAATGGTTGTAGCCACTTTACAACATACATGCATCTAATATCCCAAATGGAGCCAGCCTTCTGCAAAGGAGGTGGCCGATGTTATATCGAGTCACATCTACATAGCTCCCTGCATAAATGAATTAACGAACTAGAAAACGCAATCAAGTACATCTTTTTCATGTCTAACGAATCCAACAGGTCAACGAGGTGAATGATCCCAACTCTGATGTGCTGAAATGTGGTCTGGTCTTATCTGGTGCCTGGCATGGCCTGTCACTAAGCACACAGTACTGAACATAGGTTCTCAAGTTTGACTCTTCTCAATTTAAGCATATCATTAAGAAAACTCCAACCATTCCAGAATCTTTAAACAACTTGTCATTGTTATATGAATACTGTCTTCAATGTACACGGAACTCTCTGATGCCTTTGAATTCGTGTGATGGCATGACCTATTTTGAACTATTGATTTCCATACTACAATGTTGTATGTAATTTTATAAATAAATAAATAAAATCGGACTCTAGAACCCTGTCATGTATCCATTTTGACCGATACTGTGAGGATTAGTTTCAGAACTACCCACCCTTGTGCATGCAATTAGTTTCAAAATTGACTCATTTAACTCTTTCTGTAGGAGTCACCTTGGAGCGATTAAATGAAGGTTTCACACCACGGCATTGTGCATTATCTCTTGTTGGCGAACCTATTATGTATCCAGAGATAAATGCACTTGTGGATGAGTTGCACAAAAGGAGAATTTCCACTTTTCTAGTAACAAATGCACAATTTCCAGAGAAAATTAAGTCGCTGAGGCCTATCACCCAGGTCTTGGGTTTTCCAGAGTTTCATAATTGTAAACATGTTGGATAAGGAATCCAAACTTAATATTCTTGTTTGCTGTTTGCAGTTATATGTCAGTGTTGATGCTGGAACAAAGGACTCTCTAAAGGCAATCGATAGACCGCTCTTTGGAGATTTTTGGGAAAGATTTATTGTGAGTGTCTTTTCATTCTCATTGGAAATTTAGAAAAGTAGAATTACATCATGAATTCATGATGAAGGAATTGTAACTACTCTAAGGAGCAACTTATAGCAGAAATACCTCTTTTTTTTTGTCTTGGAGTTGATATCATGGGCTCTTTTTACTGCATGATTGCCATCTAAAACAGGGGTGACTGCTAAGATAGCATATACAATCTCCTGGATTTAATTTGAATGTTTGATGATACTGTGTCCCTATTGATCACCTTGTATTTTGATAACTTTGTCAGGATTCCTTGACTTCTCTGAAGGAAAAACATCAGCGTACTGTGTACCGCTTGACCCTTGTGAAAGGGTGGAATGCTGAAGAAGTTGACGCTTACTATAATCTCTTTAGTTTAGGAGAGCCCGACTTCATTGAAATCAAGGGTGTTACATATTGTGGCTCGTAAGGCTCCTCCTCTTCTCTCTTTGTCGCTACCCTTAGTCCAGCTAAATTCTTTTGTCTGAGAACCATCTTTGAATGATAATGAACTATTCACAGGACTGCTACATCAAAATTGACAATGGAGAATGTCCCTTGGCATGCCGACGTGAGAGCTTTCTCAGAGGCTCTGGCTCTGAAAAGTCAAGGGGAGTACGAAGTTGCATGTGAGCATGTTCACTCGTGTTGCGTCCTTTTAGCAAAAACTAAGAAGTTCAAAATTGATGGCCAGTGGTATACATGGATAGACTATGAGAAATTTCATGATCTGGTGGGTATTTCTGTCCTATTATTTTGGGTTGAATTAGGATTATTGTTTTGTTTATGAATTATCATCAATTTAAATCAGGTGGCTTCTGGAAGTACTTTTGATAGCAAAGATTATATGGCTGCCACACCATCCTGGGCCGTCTATGGAGCTGAGGAAGGTGGATTTGATCCAGCACAATTGAGATATAGGAAAGAGAGACATCACAAGTCGACCCGCAAAGAATCAGGTTAGAAGTTTAGGAGCCATGAGCAGCCAGCATCCATTTCCCCTTTTATCTTTCTTCCAGTGTGTAACTCAATAATAGGTTACAAAACATATTTCAATAGGACAGTTTTGTAATAGAATGATTTAGACATAGGTTAAGTCATTCCAGTGTATTAAAAAAAAGTCTAAATGTTTTCCCAATTCAAGGAAATTGAGGAGAGAATTTTGTTTAGCTGTTTTAAATTTTTAATAGAGATTTGTCTTCCATCTATTTGTTTTTGAAATTGAAATTGAGGTTGCAATAATAGATAGCATGGCGTAGTGTTGCTTTGCACTCTGTAATTTTGGCTCTGAAGAGAGAAAGTTAAAGCCGTATTCTTAATGCAAACAAATAAAATTTATAAATCTCGGGACAATATTTGCACTCACTCCTTTTTTCCTTCTTATTTTATTTATTATTTAAAAACCTTGGGTAGTTAATTATTGATTTTGATTGACTTTACCCAAGTCTCCACAGCTTCATCATCTGTTGGTTAAAAATTAAATATTTATTTTAGTCCTTTAAAGGTGTTGATATCAAATTGACAGCAACCTAATCCATCAATCATTCAACATAATGTGATATCAAAACATACTATTAAACAAAATCCATGACATTCAAAATTTAAACTATTAAATTGATGTTATTTCTTATTATTGGAAAGTGACTAAATTGATGTCATTTGTATTTTATTTATTACAATGACAAATCCCAAACTTTTAAAGATCAAAGTGGTAGTATATTTTTATGTTAAATTGCACCTTGAAAATATATTATTTAAGTCAAAATAATGGTGTACCTAATGTGTTTTTTTCTCCATTCTGCATCACACACTCTCCATATGCATTGAACTTGATCTAAGAAAGATTATTATTGATCGTACTGTGTACAAGTGTTATTAGACTTAGAAGCCCGAATACTCTTTTTCCTTAAACATGGTTTCTCGCAGCAGCACTATGTTGTGGCAATTATTGTTAGTAGTCCCTATCAATTAAACCCATTTTCCATGGATGTATTTTAACCAAGGACGCGTCTCTATTTTTGGAGCAGTAGTTGATTCATTTGGTACCAATATGACAGGAAAAAAACATTATAGAAGACGACAGAAGGAGCCTCCGTGGAGGAAATATAATTATATACTTTCCCCTTAGGAGCACCATTTTTAAGCTACGCAAGCTTCATTAGGCCACCACTAAACACTTAAAAATAAACAAGATAGATAAAAGGTAATAAGGAAACTAGCTCACAAGTTGTATGGCACTGTTGAAATTGCTAATATAACAAAACTGTGGACTTACAGCACATTGATATTGCTAATATGAAAGTTTGTATACACATTTAAATTAAACAATTTGTTAAATTATAAAAAAAAACTAAAATAAGATATACTAGATTGTTAGTATTTCACCATTATATGTCTATCTTCTACCCGAAAATGGAAAACAATGTTATCAAAATTCATTTTCAACGAACCCTTTTGAATGTGAAAAAAATGCTTAACTTATCTTCTAATATCTAGTTTGACCACTTTTCAATGAACTCACAATGTTTAATGTTTCTTAATTGAAAAAAACACTTCCAACATATATGGTAGTATGAATTAAGAGTGTTCAAAGTGCATTGAAACAATTTTAAAAATAATTATGATTTTTTTATATATATATTTTTGAATTATATTACATGTATATCATACAAGACATCAATGGAAAATATAGAATTGTTTGACGTGATTTATTATAAAAATGTAGAATTGTTTGTCTTTATGATTAAATATAGGGCTCATTTATTTCATTTTAAAAAAAATCATGTTACATATTTTTCTTTAAAAAATATTATACATATTTTCTCTTTTTAAAATGCCTCAAATAAAAATTGATTTTAATTGTTATTTTTAAAATATTATTTCAGATATTTTATCTTTTTATTATAATTTTTTGATAATTTTTTTGATACACATAAATCTAAGTTAGATACGGATAATTTTTAGTACTATAAATTGCAACAAAAAATTTAATATATTATAAAATAAAATAAAATGATAAAGTAATGTGACATTAAATTAATTCAGAGTGTTTGATTTATTAAAAATATCAGGATCTAATTAATTTTAAAAGTATGGAAGTGTTCACCTAATTTTTTATAGATATAACTATCTCATATTCTATTTATAAGAAAACGTATATTTTTTAGATTTATTTAGTAGCTAATATATTTAATTTGTATTTTATCTAGATATAATACTTATTCAATAAATTTATTCTTACAAATATAACTTGAGAGAGTAATAATTTAAAATTATTTTAAATAAATTTACAAAAAAGTTATTTTTAAAACTTATAATTTTAATTATGTTTACTCTTAAATAATATATATTTATGTTATATGATGTCAAAATCAATCTTTTAATTCATAATAACTGAAATAAAAAGACTTCAATTTTCAAAATATAAAAAAAAATCTTTTAAAAATAAATAAAAAGAATCAGTAATTAAAAAGTGAAATTTAAAAATTCTACCCACTCATTCTTTGTTAAGTGAGAACCGAATGAACCCAAATCCCATGCTCTCACTATGTTATTTAGTTGCTTTCCTCTTCCATTTTTCACTATACTTCTCTCGTTCATCTCACAATGTTCTTTATGTTAAAGTTTGTTAACGAAATAGTCATTTATTTATTTAGTCATTCATCTCATATATATATATATATATATATATATATATATATATATATATATATATATATATATATATATATATATATTAAAAAAATGTTAAAATAGAAATGAGCATTAACTAACAATGTCATAGGCTTTAAGATAACCTCAACAATTAATCTCCGAGTAAATGCAAATTGATAATTTTCCCTCTGAATTTTTTTCTAAAATTCATACTCTCGCACAAATGAACCCTAAATTAAGAATAACAAGTTATACAAATATCGATCTAACTTAAAGAAGCAATACATCATATATTTGGTCTAATAATAATAATAAGATAGGTATACAAAAAGTATATCAAAAGCGCAACATGCAATTGTTGTAATCCTATCCTAAACAATGGTATATATAACATATAGTTACATTATAAATGGGAAGGAATAAAAAAAAAAAGAGAACTTGATTATTTCAAAATATGTAAGAAGAAGCATTCAATCACTAATAATGCACACAACTTACAAACCTAATAATAGTATAAAAGTTCAATCCTTCCAAATACTTTCAAACAATAAATTATTAAATTAAACTCATAGAATCACAAATCACAACACTATACATGATTTAAGCAATAAGGATTAAATTAAAAACAATTAATATAAATAAGCACAAAATAAAACTAAACAACATGAAGAAGAGAAAGAGTTTCTTTTGAAACTAATAACAACAATAATAATAATAATATATGAGTTTAAATATAAATCCGTCTAAAAGATTGAGAAATGAAGTAACGAATAATTTGTTGATGGAAGAAAAAAAAAGCATAATAAATTTAGTGACTACTCTTTGTAGGTTTGCTTTTACGCCTAGCTCTGCTGGTTCTATAAGAAACGACACCTTTTGGAACTTCAGTCTCTTCTTCTTTTCTAAGCATGCATGTTTCTATTTCTGATGAACCTTTTGTCTCTTGTTTTTCCATTGAATCTTCTTCTTTAGGTTCCTCTGAACTTTCCATCTTCACAACAATCTTACGAGGTCTACCTCTTTTTCGACTAGTTTGAGGTTGTTGTTGTTGTTGTTCATCATCTATTGTTGTTGATGCTTCAGCTATTGCTGCCCAAACTTCCTTTGTTTTTTGAGGTTTCTTACCCATAGATATGATATGATAAACCCTTCTTTCAATTTTTCTATCTAGAAAATATTTTACAAAATCAAATCTTTGATAAAAGAGTGAGAAGAAAACTTATGAATCTCTTTCTAAGGCAAAAATACACTTTCTCTCTCATGTGTATTTAAATATAATATATATAAGGTTTAGAATTAAAGGCAGACCAATATCTTTGACCAGAATCAAGATTTTGGAAACTCTAGTCCTAAAAAAAGTCTAAAAGCAAACACTCTTGTGAAGCCCGTCGACAATACCATATACCACACTATATTTACACGTCTAGTGTGTTATTAATAATTTGAAAAACTAAAATAATTGTGCTCATATGAAAAAATATTTTTAAATTTAAAATAAACATTATTAATCTATTTCCAAGATAATTATTTTTAAATAATTGATATTTCAATTCTTAAAATAATAATAGTAATAATATTTTTAAATTAAATATATATTTTTTAAAATAATTTTCGTCTGTACAATCTTAACTTAACAGAATGAAAATTGATGTTGCAAGATAAATTTTTTATAATTAATATTAGAGATTAATTGTTATGCAATCACAAAAAAATGACTTATAATTTAAAATAGAGGTAGTTTATCGTGAAATGATGAATTAAGTAGAGGTGTTCATTTTGCTATGAAACTAAAATAAAGAAAAGCCGAAAAAGTAAATAAAGTGATATTTCAGTTTGTTTTTTTGTCCATTGATTCCTACCTACATGTTGTTTTGTTTTTACCAGTGCAGAAAAAAAATAAAAATAAAAATGGTAAGGTAGAAAGAGAGTAGAAAGGACAAGAATAAACTATGGTAAAGAAAGTGGAAAAAGTGATGATAATGATAATAGTAACCATGGTTAAGAAAGAGTGTGGACCAAAAAGAGAAGAGGTTTGGTAGTACTCTGAATATTGCAGTGTTACAGTCTGACCATTTCTCTTGTTTTTTCCCGGTTTCTGCCTCCCCCTGCTTTAAATGTTGCTTTCATTACACAAGTGGGTACTTGCTCTTTTTTTTCTTTTTTTTTAAAATAATTTTTTAATAATTTTTTATGATTAACTATCAATTCTATCTTTTTTTTATAATTTTTGTTTTTAGAATTTGAGTTGTACAAGTTTGCTGTTTTGTTTTGAATTATATATGCTCTTTTTAAAAGTAATATAAGTTATTAAGTGAATTTTAAGTAATCCTTAATAAAGTAATACCATTAAGTTAAAAATAATTTTATGAAAATTAAATTAATATTCTTTAAGTTTATTGGTGTTGAAGAATGTCGTATGTTAGAAGGCTTAACTTTAAGTCCAAAAGAGTGAAAAAAAACCAATCTAGTTTAAAGATTATTATCAATTTTAAATGGGGTGCAATAGCAATTGTCTCTAATTCTTAGTTATTATATTTTAATGTCTTTTAAAAGGAGGCTCTGGCCCATTTATGGTTAGATAGTTCTAGCTGTTTAAGAGTAATATGTTTGAAGTAGAATTTTTAATGAAAGATCAATAAGTTTGTTTTATGTCTTTTTTTCTCCTTTGCAACCTTTGATCTAACATAAGATTAGTGTATTTTATTATTTGGTGATTTCTCTTGATTCAATGTCTCTCAAGTCTATAAATCCTTTCTCTAAAGACTTGGACGATGTCATACAAATTTTCTGTTTGCAGATTGATGTTGCTATTATCCACACACATCATTAAGGTGATGAGAGACTTCAAACTATTATTGAAAATATACACACAATGCAATTAGAGAATATACACACAAGGCAAATCCATGACTCTAGATATGAATATGTCATGACTCTCCTCACAAAGTTAATGAAAATTGAAGTGCAACAATCTTTCATTACTCACACTATTATTGCTTCTTTTGCAAGTATATCTCTCACCTTTCTATTCCTTTCTAGTTATGGACATGTTAATGCTCCTATTGTTTCACCCATCACCCCTATTTTTATTCATGTAGGCCCTAACCCTACCCACACAACCTCACACCCACAAAATCACTTTTACCCTACTACAACATTGGGAAACACAACAACACAACAACATAACCACCGTCAATCCATTTTTCCCTTATAGTTTTACCGGACCCACCTTTATTAATCCCTCTAATGTCTTTTCAAACAACTCTATTTATTATATCTCAATTCCCCATCCATTCCCTTCCCCACTCATCCCTCAACAAACTCCACTATCTTCATTTAGAACTCCAAAGTTAGAACTTGTTGTGATTGATGGGGCAGACCTATTAGATTGGTTCTTTCAAGTTGAACATTATTTTAATTCTTATCATTTTTCTTTTAAAAATCATATATCATTAACTACATTTTATATAAAGGGAGATGCTTTATGCTTGTTTAAATGGATACACCAAAATTAATTGTTATTGGATTGATTTTCCTTTACGGAAATTTTAGAGTGATGAGTTGGTCCCTGAACGTATATTAATCATCAAGTTGAGCTATTTAAGTTGAAATAAAAGGGTTATGTTGTGGATTATCAAACTAAATTTTAAAAATTAGGCAATCAAGTTTTAGGTTTACCCTAAGAAGTTATTCTAAGTTATTTTATTTCTGACCTAATCCTTGAAATTCAAAATGAGATAGTCATTCATACACCGGTCTTAATTTCCCAAGCAATTGACCTTGCCAAACTCATTGAGGCCTTTATGTAATGATTCTCATTAATACAGGTAATACTCATAACATATTGCAAGCTCGCATTGCACAACATCTAAACCTAACAGCCACACAATTAATCCTGCAATTTTCAGTGATCGTTGGAAATGGTTCTCACCTACAATGTCAAGGCATTTGCAATAATGTTAGAGTTATCCTACAAGACAAACCTTTCAACCTCTCATTCTACTTGTTACCATTATAAGGCGCCGAAGTTGTTCTTAACATGGTATGATTGCTTACTCTTGGGTCAACTCAAGTAGATTTTTCAACTCCATCCATCACATTTACCCATAAAGACACATCAATGACATTGAAGTGTGTAGCGGTGAAAAATTAAAGATTAACTTATTGGTTAACTTAACTCACAAAAGAAAGAGTTGTCACCGCACTTTATTTTTTCAAAGAGAATTGGAAAAGTGCTAACAAAACCCACAGAAGTTTATAACAAAACTAATAAAACAAAGAGACAATGGTAAAGGGGGTTGGTTATGCAATGGGAAGGTGTTAACACCCAAAAAATCTATAGTACTCTATAGGAACCTCTGGAAAATCTATATTTGACTTAAAACCAGTTGTTTGCAAAAAATTGAGGAGATGAGAAGAGAAATAATTTTTATATTTTCGGTGTTTAACAAGACTTCCTTAGCCTTATCCCTACGTACCCACAAAGTGCAATGAAGGATCAAAACTTTGTAGTTCGAGTAACAATAGCAAAAGGGTTTGTTTTTATTGATTTTAAATGGAAAAACACTTTGTCATTTTAAGGAGAAAACTCAACTATTCACCCACAAGTATGGGAAAATGGACCTTTGCATCACAATTAAGAAGGACTCCAACTTGGATTGAAATCAACAAGTATGCCACTAACTCTCTAAAGTAGAAAAGAATCAACATCAATTCAATCATTACTATGGTGATATAAGAGTCACATCTCAACTATGAAAATGACTCATGTCTAATCCTTGAGAAAAGACTTTTAAAAAGAAAATTGCACAAAGGGCACAAAATAGTTTGAAAGATTTGTGTATTTTTTATGTCTTTTGAAATTATTTTGATATGCTTAAGATGAATTAACATTTATTTAAGAAAAAGAGTTTGAAAATCACTTGACAAAATCAATGTTTATTAGGAAAGTGGTTCAAGTTTCAAAACAAGAAGGTTTTGAAAAAGGGAGAAAATTTTGAAAATTTAAGAAGAAGAGGAGACTAATAGACTGTCCTAAGAAAAGCAATAAAGTGGAAGTGTGTGCAAGTGTACTAACCAGAATCTAGCCAGCACTTACGGAAAAAAAGGGAATGAGTGTTTCTGCGCGTGGATTGCAGTAAAAGGGAAAGCTTTTTTAGTATGAAAGGTGGATATGAAGTGTTATGGAAAGAGAGTATGGTGCAGGAGTAATGCAGATGAAAAGGAAAAATGGAGTATGTCTGTTTGAAAAGTTGAGATTAATGAAGTGTATGATAAAAATGTGTTTCTCCTTTGTTTTTTTTTCATATGCTCAGTTTTTTTGTGATTTTTGATCAAGGTGATAGCTGTCTATGCCAGTTTGTCTTGCCAATTCTGTGCTATGTAAGGTGACACCAAATGAAGTTAAAAATAAAAATGACTTTCTAAAACTTAAGAGTTAAGTTTTAATAAAAAAATAAAAAATAAAATAAATTATTTTAAATAAAAATCTAAATTAAAATTGATTAATTAAAAAAAGATTATTAATTAAAAATTAAAAAAAAACGGTTAAAAACAAAAAAATTAGACTGGTATCGAAGTGTTCGGAAAAATAAAATGAATGCACTAACTTTATAATTTTGTGGCAAAGAAAAATAACAATTAAAATAAATTATTTCAAGCAAAATTAATTTATACAAAAAAAGTATTAGTAAATTCACACAAACACGATAAGGATAAAAAAATATGTTTTTATATTAATTTGATCAAAGAAAGAATAAATTTTTCAATTAACATAATTCAAAAATTTATTATAAAATATTACAAATAAGTTAAAAATAATAATATTCCAAGTTCTTAACAATAAGTTTTTTATCCAATTGTTTCTTAGTTTCTTAATTTTTAATATTTAAATCAAAGAATCTTAAAGTTTTTAAAAATATTATTCAATCTCCTTAAATATTCTCAAAAGTCTTTTAAATTATACGATGACGAATTTTATAAATTTGCACGTTTTAAGTTTAAAGTTAGGATTCCCATCTTTTACTATTTTCTTTCATGCCAGCATAAGTAATGTCAAAATTTTAGAGATTTCCTTTAAGCTTAAAACACGACCCGTCGTTAAAATGGATAATGATACACTCGTCGTCGACACAACCATCCACACCACTGAAGCTCTGACTCCATTGACTTCCATTCCACTGCATTGCCAACTCACCAAATTTTTTTGATAATATTAAAGAATCTTTTTTCTCTTCATAACTTAAGATTTTGAGACATCTAAAGTCTTCCACTTTGACTTAAACACTAATACTGATGTCAATTTAATCATCAACCGACTTATTATTATCTTCAAAGTTTGAATTATTCAATGAACTTGATCAAATTTAAGCAATTCTTGAATTTGAATCTTGACACTTGCATCCAACCATGTTTTCCTGCTTAGGTAGTCTCACAAGCTACAAGCACGGTTCTTCATTTGTGAATGTCTTTTTTTACCATTCATCGTTCTCAATCCTCTTTGACTCCTTTTTCTTTGAATGCCTCCTTAAAGTATAAGTCTTGACACTCTTCGGTTAAGTTCAACATAATTGTATATTATAGGTGGTGCAATTTCTCTCCTTACCTCCATCATGAGGTAAATGATAATAAGGATTCATTGTAGATTTTCCCTCTATTCGCAGGTGTTTTTAACGAACAATCACGAATTTGAAACTCTTTTAAATTAACTCGAAAATCTCTGAAATAACTTTGTGCAAACACCTTTACAAGAAAATATGTATATGATGTGACTACAAATGTATGTGTTCATACAGTGTAAAAGCGAACTTTAAAGACAATAAAGTTTGAATTAAAGTAAAAGAAGTTTGAAGTAAACAACATTAAATAAATCCAGTAGATGACAAAAGAAAATGTGTTTCAATTAAGGAAACATAGAAAATCTCGTTCTCGACGTGGTGTCAAGTGCTTACTCATGTTTTTTCCTGAGACTCCTCCAAACCACATCTTAAGATCTGTTCTTGAGATTCTTCCTAACCACATCTCAATATGTCAATCACGGAGCCCTAGTTGACATACCATTGTTGTCGACTCCTGCCAATCACAGGTAACACTTATGACTTCACTAATGCAACATTCGTTTTAGCATTCTTTTGACTTTTTTTACCAATTAAAAAATTCTCAGGCTAACACCCACAGTAGAACTATAAACAAAATCCTTAACTTCTTCCTCATCTTTAGTCTCCCAAATAAAACCTCCATCTCAAATTGATTCTTCTCCACCATAATTTATGGTTTTCTCACCTTTAGGTCTTTATTTTTCCTCCCTTTATGGGTCTCACAAAAAATAACATATCTTCTTATGATGGATTTTGATCCTCTAAGTTTTATTTCTCATAAATCTTAACCATTCTTACCTTCAGGATACCAGACACACTTTACATCCTTACCATCAAATTGGTCTAACTTGATTTTCACAAACGATAAAGCTTTAAAGAACTTCAAAATATAGTAGTCTATTGATTTCCTACTTTGAACCTTCATAGATATCTTAAAGTTTATTCATGTGATTGGACATTTACCGAAAAAGGTAAGTTGTTTTGCACTAACCTTACACATAAACTCTTTGGAAAACTCATTAAACTGCTCAGAAACAAATTTTAGGCCTTTGTCAGTTCTTCTTTCAAGAAATGTATTGATCTCAAATTCTATAGTTTGTTCTTACAATAAAAGTCTTAACTAGCTTACAGTTAATAATGCATGACCAATAACATTGAAACCATCTTAAATATACAATATTTTAGACCATTTAGAGATTATCAATCTATCATGCAAAATTTGCAAACACCTCATATTCAACTCTAATGCAATAGCCTAGATCATGAACATGTTCATGCACAAAAAGAAATTTCAAAACTCACATGAGTCACATTGCGTAGAAGAGACTCATAATTATTGAACATTTTAATTCAAATCGTACCAATACTATGAAACTTACAAGTCTTAATGTTACTAAGTCGAACGACTCCACTTTCTTCTAGCATCAAAGTCTCTAGTATTTTCTTCCTCGTGCACTTGTGATAAGAGCATCCAAAATCTTGAACACAACTCTTTTTCATCTCCAAACTCGAAAATGCACCAACATTTTCATAACCATTCTTATCTGAGACAAATACGATCTGATTAGAATCATTATTGTTTTTCTTCTTAGAACAATCCTTCTTGAAGTGATCGGTTCATGATATATAAAGCATTTTAACATTGACTTATCAAAATCTCTAGATTTAGACTTCCTTTTTCTTGAAATTCATCCTCTTGAGACACTCAAACCTTCATTATAATCGTTAATCTTCAAATCATTCAACATTGAAATTCCTTGAATTTTATTGTTGGATTTCATCCTAGATAATAGTATATTCTTTATTATAAAGAGATTCATTCTCGAAAAATTAAAAAGAAAAATATGTATAACTACATAAGTTCAAATTCATTTCAAGTCAAAAACACGACTCATCAGTGAACTTAACTGGCCCGCGAACTAAACCTAATCGTCCTAAGACTTACAACCCGACAACCTCCAAAGCTCCGTTGCACTTTAGGATGAACTCCGACCACCGCCGACTTCCGGCGCCATTGCACCACCAACTCGCTGAAAACTTTTGGTAGTACCAAAACATGCTTTTCTTGTTTCCACTTATTCTAAGACATACTTATACAAATTATATAATTGGATCACCCTCTTGTTAAATACCTTGGTTTTTCCTTTATTGCTATTTAATTGTCCTTTACTATTCCTTTTACTTGGAGTATGATCTTGGGTCTTGCTAGTACCTTTATCTTTTTTGTCTTTAGAGTATTGATTTTTTCTGTTTTCTTTGCCTTTTTTATAGATCTCTAAAAATGATCCTACAAGTATATACTTTCTTAAATGTATCTTTTATGTATACTATATTATATACATCGTTTATTTTGTTGCCAGCCTGCAACAACCACGTGGCATAACTTAATTGTATAAATATTTAGCAATAAAAAATATTATGTGGACTAAGATCTAAAAGCTACTTTGGATTAAGAATTTGATATCATAGAAGCATGCGTGGTTGTGATAAAAGATAGATAAGAAAACATCATAATCAAATTAAAGAGTGTACATCAACACACTAGTTTTCATGGTTTGAGTTTATTTCCAGAAATATAGGAATTTATATTTGTTTGTGGTGATAATCACTCCATTTTTTCTCCTACTAATTACTATATCAAGTGTTTATTAATTGGTACATAATTAATATACTCTTCACACTTTCATATACTTTATCATCCTTAATCATTCTATTTATAAATTCCACTTTCCATTTAGATTTCATATAACTTTGTGATTCTTTAAGTGATTTGTTGATTGTGAAACAGGTTTTGATTAAACAAAATACTATGGATTCAATATTTGATTGATTTTTGATACGAAGATGGAAGGGTCTTATGTATCGTCGTGCAATGGAGGAGAATCAGCGAAAAGAAATCTTCAAATAATTGAATATTCTTCGCCTTATGTTGATGAATCATGCATGAAATTATCATCATTTTCATTATTACCTTGGTTTGATGTAAGAGTTTTTTATGTAAGAATGAGTGGAATTGAAGTGAATGATGAATCAACTTCGCGATTTCTATATCTTCATCATGTTCCTTTAAGTCCCGATACTCTTTTAGAAATAAACGGTGTTCGAAGCAACATGAACAATGATGAAGATTCTTCGATTCTAAGAAGGGATAGAATTGATAAGAAATCGGAACAAGTCACGTTTGTGAATACGGATAGTATAAGATTAAATGGTAGCGTGAAGTTTGAGATTTGTGATAAAGATCAATGTATTCTCTCTTGTGTTCTTGAGATGAATAAGAGATTTTGGAGTATGAAGTGTGAAACGGAAATGAAAGCTAATAGTGGTTTTTTCAAAGGAAAACATGTTTCTGTTCCTGAGTTAGGTTGTCCTGAAATTGAGGTTTATGTTGCTGGTTGTTTCTTAGGAACGCCTGTAGTCTTGACTAGGACACTGCAGTTCAATTGTAGGAAGAAGCAGAATAGGAAATTGGGTGTGTTGGATGTGATTCCGGAATACGAAACAACCGAGTATAAGAAAGATGTTTCTGATCATGATCATCATGAACTTGATTTACAGGTAAATTTGCAAAACAGAATAGCTATTAGAGATATCATAATTTTTCATAATGGATATGGTTATTTCTTTGGCTATGCAATTTTTGTGAATAGTACAAATTATGTATCAAGTTATGAACTTTGTAGCTGACACTTCTGATGGAAGGTGTGTTTGATATCCGACAGGTGTTAGTGTCAGTGTCTGACACCGACATCACACTTTTCTTCATACTTTTACCAGTGTCTATGCGTCTGTACCAATGCTTCATAGGTTATGACAGGATAATTGTGTCTGTACCAAAGTTTTTAGGGTGTGTACTTATTGGCTTATGACATGCTATTTGAGATTACTTACTGATAAGTACTTATGATAGTTTCTAAAAAATAGCTTATAGCTGATTTCCAATTGTTTTAATAAGATCTCCAAACGTAGCTTTTAAAAATAGCTTACAACTTCTATGAAAAAGTCAAATCACATTATTCCTGATTGTGCAAGTACTTATGATAACTTATGAAAATAGTTTATAGCATGTCTAAAAGCTGGTTTCAGATTATTTCAGCAAATATCTTTAGGCATAACTTATAAAACAGTTAACATGGAAACAACACTCGTATATAAGAACTTTTATGAGAAGTGCTTATTTGATGAGTTAGTGTATGTTTGGTAACACAGCGGATGAGTCACAGTTATTTCGGCAAATCTGCTATGATACTCAATGCGCACTTAGCTTTTCTGTTTGATTTTTTGGCTAATGTTGCGTTCGTTATTCGTTGTTTTGTTTTGGTTCATAGGGAGGTGAGTACAGGAGGTTCAAAGAAGAAGAAGAGGATTACAATAACATGTATTGGCAAAGAACAGCATACATGGATATGGAAGATGGTGAGCTATCATGGTTCAATGCCGGTGTAAGAGTTGGTGTTGGAATTGGACTTGGCATCTGTGTAGGAGTTGGCATAGGAGTCGGTCTTTTGGCCCGCTCTTACCAGACAACTACTCGTAATTTCAAGAGGAAGTTCATATAACCTCGTTTTTGTAAAATGGAATTTATATACTCGATAGTTCAAAGTCAATTACTTATCTACCATTAGGTTGTGCTCAAGTGGTTAGGACGCAGAGTGTGCGAATATTGTAAATCTTATATAGTTCTGAGTTAAATTTCTAAACATGAATATGTTATGGAAAACATGATTGTTCCCTTTTGCTTTGTTTACAATCTTTCTTTCTTTTTGTTAATTCAATACTTTTACCCTCCTGATTTCTCTGTTTTTTTTGTTCCCTTTATAAACTTTTAAAGAAATGCTCGTGTTTTGAAGGATAGGATAAAAGTTCAATTGTTATCAATTTGAATCATATGACACTTATGTATGAATATATGATTCTAAACAAGCGAAAGTTGACATAGATAATCAGACATTCGTTTGCACTAATTGTAATCTAAAATTTTGACGCTTCAACATGAAAATATGGTTCTAAACTGACAAAGATAAGTAAGTTTTATAACAAGTCATTGTTTGTCTTGACTATTCATTCATAGAACTCTCAAATGGATCTCGTTAATTTGAGATATTAAGTTCTGCAATTGTGTACGAAAGATATATTGGCTTACTCAAAAACGACGAGGTAGTTTTTATAGTAAAACAATTATTTAATCAGCAATATTGCCATTCCCATATTTTCAAAAGTTCCTCAACTTGAACTAATCTGCTAGGAAAGTAGCAAGTGCACTATTACTACATCATAAATATTGTAAACAAAGGATAATGCCTCATAAATATCCTTATTCTTAATCTGGCTAGAGCTAATAGCTTTATGATTATACTAGTACTTATATCTTTATAACTAAGTCAAAACAAGGTTAAGTTCCTCAGGTAGCTACTTCTGGAGCAACTTCTGCTGCACAATGCATGTGGTTTGAGAGTTTTTCATCAGAACCCCAAAAGTCTGCACATTTTAAATCATCTTGAGTCATTAATTTCGAGAATTCCTCGTGGTTATAGTTCAATATGCTTTTTCCACCTAGTTCACTTGGAAGATTTTCCTCGTCAAAATAAGATTTCATGAGCTCCACACTATCTTTATTCTTCGGATACACGAATTTCACCTTCTGAAACGTCTTGCTATCCAAGAAATACTTCACTATCTGCGGAAAAAGAAGTACAATCTTTAGCTTTGATTCTAAAATGCAACGGAATCGGTATTATAGTTAACGTAAAATTTAAAGGTTTGGGTTTTGTACATTCACGAAATTATGCAGTTACAGATATGAACCAACGGATCAAGAATAGACAGTTCACATCCTTATTTTGTGTTTTGAACCAAATTTACTAAAGTTGAAACATGGACTGTCTAATATCGATTCGGCGTTCCAAATCACGTGACTACATCAAATGTGTGATTCCTGATTGCAGGGAATTTTGATCCGAAATTCAATGATATCGATAAGAGTGGCTATGGAGAGCAAAGACAACAAACCTTCCAAAAAGCTTCGAAAATTCGAGGAGGGTTATAAAGAAACGCTATTCCAAGCCTCTCAGGATAGTGATTCTGTAGAATACCGATGGTCTCTCGAGCTGATTTGAGAGGCACGTTGTTGGTTATTGACCACCCAGTGAAATCTATCAACCAAGCCATTTGTTCTTGACCCGGTGGAAGATTAAGCATAGCATTTTCCAAAAGATACACAAGATGCTTAATCTGATTGTCCATCGAAGAAGTGTTCTGCAAACACATCAAACATTCAGTGCTTATTGAAATAAGTGCTTATTGTATAAGTGAAACCAAATATCTCAAATTCATCATCATACCTGCATTCCAGGTCTCAAAATAAGAACAGTCCTTCCATGTCTGTCATGAAAACCCGCTCGATAAACTTTCCCTGTCTCCCCTTCCTCTGCAACCTCATCCTAAATCATCATTTACATCATCTTGAATTATCTCAGACAATACTCAGTGCACGAAAATCATAAAAAATGAGACCAAACGCAAAACATACCCAACGGATTTTCTCGGGCTTATAGACTGATCTCCACTTGAGTGTGTCTACCAACATCTTTTTGGACTTGTCGACATTCCAGTTGCGAGCTTCTAGATATCGCTTCAAACAAGCATCAGTGCAGTACTTCAAGCTGTTTCCTGATAAGGGTCCAATTGCAACCTTGAGCTCTTTTATCTGGTTGTAAAAAATTCAATATTCAAAAATCAGAACCATGATGCAACCTAACAAAGCTAATAGCTTTTGCAGGATTCAAAATTGATTTCATGCATGTAAAACCGATTTTGATGACAGGTTCCAATATTCTCGAGAAAATTAATTTTCTCTTCAGAATTGATTCTAACTTATGTTCAACTCAATTTTAACCAGAATCGCTTTTATACGAATACATCCAAATGGAAATCAATTTTCACCAGAATCAATTTTATAAATCCAATTCATTCAAAATCAATTCTTTTGTCATTTTACCTTGGATTCAGCAAGAGCATCTTTGGTTTGTTGATCTTGTTGAGAACTCCCCCAGAGATTAAACATGGCAACTGAAAATTCCTTCAACTTCTAAACCACTTGTTATATATATAACTTTTTCTCAGTTTTCACAACCAAATCCTATGCCAATAACAAGAGAAAACAAGGATAAATAAATATAAAAAATAGATCACATAACAGAATCCACTAATATCAGTAATTTCCTATACCATCTCACAATCCAAAATTCCAGGATAGATTAATATTTAATTAATATTTTAAAAATCTATTGTGATCAAAATATAATCTCAGAAAAACATCTACTTCTGAAATATTATAATAAATGAAAACATATTATAACAGATCCATAAAAAAAATATTTAAAAAAATGTATAAAATTCTATGTTTCATGATATACTCATCCATTGTAACGCAAAAATGATAGAGAAGAACCTGTAACTGTAAGGCTGAGAAGAAGAAACAAAGAGTGAGGAAAAGAAAGAGGAAATTCATGTGTTGTGTGTGAAAGACTTGTAAAGTAATTTTCCAAATAATAAAAACAAAAAAACAGTGTCACATTGACCAAACAAAAATAAATAAATGTGACATTGAATTCAATCTCTGCCAACAATTATGGATCTCTTGTTACACACGGTTGTCCTTGATATTTGCAACTTTTTTTTTTACACTATTATGTACATTAATAATTTATATAAAAAAATTGATATTAAAAAGATTAAAATTTTTATTTATTTTATATGCAAAATATACATTGAATTCAATCTTTGTCAATGTAAAAATCATATTAATCATATGCACCATATATGTTATTATAGTATATTTTAATTAAATAGTAAATATTATTTGATAAAAATAGAAATATAAAAGAAAAAAGTAAATAAATAAATTGGAATATCTTAAAAAGAAATTTTAGTTATAGACATTTTTATTATGTTTGTATAAAGGAAAGTGTTAGGTGGGTGGACTATAATGTATTGTGGCATTTCCACTTGTACAAAAAGTCATGAGAATAATTCCAAGCAGAGCATAGAAATATCTTTAATGCTCAGAGAAATTTCCACCATGAAGTATACAATACATCGATGCTACCTCCATAAATAATAATAGGTCCATCCAACTTTTTAGGTTCTGCCTCTCTATAACTTTTATTTAGGAGTACTTTCTTCCACCAAAATGTCACGCTAAGAATGTTTGGTCCAACCATCCCAATATACGGACAAACAATTTGGACTCTGATATCACAGTTTTTTTCAACAACAAAAATCATAGAAACAAACAACATAAGGAATTTCATTTACAAAACATTATTTTTAATCTCCATTAGCCTTTAGTAAAAAAAAATAAAAAAATAAAATGTGTTACACTTTTTTTATTAAAAACATGACTCAAATTATTTGAATATCAATTATGTCTTATTGTCCTGATATGGGCCAATAGTGACTCAAAACACTTTTTTTTTATCAAGCGCAACACCGTGAGTGGGGTTGCTCCAATAGTGAATGTTTTTTATTTCAGGAGGGAGACTTCACTTCCTCCTTCTACTTCTCCACTACAAAGTCCAATCCCTCGAACAATCGGGCAAGGCACATTCCAAATCCTCCCACGTTTTCTAGTATTTTCAACAATCACTCCATGGCTAGACCTCGATGCAACCTTTGTCGCAATCCATGATTCTCAAACAAAAAATGATTTAAAGCCTTCAACAATTACAAGTCAATCTATGTATAATATGAGCTAATGATTGGCTTACTAGTGTCTATAACCTAGTGCATCAATAGAATTGACACTTTTTGGTTTAAGAAGTACTCTGAATCGAAGAAAAATTACAATATGCTCCTCCTAGTGACCATTTTGTATGCAAGGTAGCCTCGCACGGTGATCAGGGATTGAGCTAAAACTCATACTTGTAGATATCGTCTTTCCACGTAGAGCACCCATTAGATCCCCAAATCACAACCGTGTGACTACTTTTGATTCACTTGCAGCATCTAGCCCTTGAAAGCAATTACCATGAAAATCATATGATACCACACAGGAGAATATGAGGCAGTCACCCCCCACCGAAGATCTCTCGTACTAACCACTCGCCACCGCGCTATCCTCGAAGAGGCGAAAGACACAGAGTCAAAGTGTGGGCTCCTAGAGAAATAAGAATTTATTCTCGAAGCGCATCCTCTAAAGAAACGTGTCAAGTTGTATAACTATGATGGCTCGAGATATCTAAATAAGTATATCGAGCATCTAGGCAACATACTCGACTACTACCATGCTTAGGCGCCAAGAAATAAAATTATTCGTGTTAACCCTGAAAGGAGTCATAATGACGTGGTTCAAGGGCCTACCTGAGAGTAGCACTTTGTGACTCTTTTATTCTCAATTCACTATTCAAAAATGACAGCCCATCATGATAGTTATACTCAATGGGATTCATCAAAAGAAGAAAAAGGCACTTAGAAAGTGCATTAATCGGTTTCCCAAAGTAGCGGCGAAAGTATGGGAACGAACAAAGAATTAAAGTGTTGGATATTTAAAAAGGGATTGAGACCGGACTACATGTTCTGTGAGAATCTATGACTAGTTAAAACAAAGACCCCAATGAAAATGAGCCCTACAAAAGACAAAGAACCTGCTGCAACTGTCACAAATGAAGCTGTCATTGAGGATCCAAAGAAAGTGAATGGAGGGCAAGGAAAGAAAGAGGAAAGCAAAAAGAAGAATGAGGACAAGGCCATAAAGAAGAGCAGCAGACTTAGAGCCTAGCTGGTATTTCCTTCTATCTCTATAGGTTTACATGCCATAACGTGCCACTACTCACCAAATGATACTGAGAACACTGTCCTTACTCTACGTTTGAGGCTGTGACAACTCTAGTCATCCCAATTGTTTACCAAAATCAATACACCCATAATCATCTGATAGCTTTATGATTTTCAAATTCTGCAATTTACTTTCTATCCTTTATCTTAATATGTTATTTAATTTCACGTATCACAATCAATACACAATCCTTTCTCTACTTAAAATTTTAAAAATCATTGAACGGTATTTGAAACTACCAATCTCTGTGGATACAATAATTTTAAAGCTTATTTTTGTTGCAGACACAACAAAATGGCGTTATAAGGTTCCTGAATGACAATTGTTATTCGATCTTGAAATTGAAAGAACCGCGTACAGAAACCTCATTAAAAACAGAAAAAGAAACAAATAGTCAAATGGGTAGATTTAGAAGAGTCTCATTTCTCAAAATAAAGAACCATGGATAAAGTAGACAATAACATCGACAACAACGGAAACAACAACTGTGGCACGCCATGTCATAATAGTCCCAGATGTTTAGCTCATCTCGCTAGAACTAAGAGGAATGTCCAACAAAGTAAAACGAAAATGAAATTATTGCAAATATTGTATGCAGACCTTTTTGCAGGTTTAGATCATGAATTCTCGTACACACACCTCGTGAAATTCTATAAAAAAATTGGAATTCTAATAGCTCTAGAAAATAAGGAAGAGGCAATATTCCTATAGTTGTTTCACATTCTGTAATTGACAAATCAAAGGAGCGGTATCTAGATCAACCCACATCAATGATGACAAACTATAACTTGTTGGAGGAAAAATTCCTAAACAGCTTTTTTCTTCACAACAAATTCATGGAAGTCAAGACAACCATTAGACAACAAAGGAAAAAAATTCACAAATCTACATTTCAATCCAGTTTTGATTAAGCTCTCATATTTCAAGAACATTAGACAACAATTAGGGACACTTCATATTTTCATGGTGTTAAAATAGGATATGGTAGTTTTGATTACATGAAAACTTGAATTGGATGTTTTAGAATGAATATTTAGGGTATTTTGTGTGCATAGAAACATAGTTATTGTTTGAAATGGCCATTGCATGTATATTAAATTAGCATACCTAGATGTTTCCCTGTCACAATGTAGTCATGAAAATTGTAAATCAAGGAATTTTCGTTATACTTGCTAACATGTTAAAATTCCATATATTTTTCCTGTTGACTATTTCAGATGGCTTCTGGAATATCAACCATTGGACAAAAAAAGACAGAGCTCAGACATCAGTTTCATCTTCCATACCATATGATGAACACGGGTTCAAAAGCCTCGTTCATGAGCAATTTTATACTGAACTAGAAAGTAGAAACATCATTCTTGAGTTAGAGGATCCTGGATAGTATTTGGATATGGTACAATAAATGAATACAAAGGGTTGGGGTGTTTTGGCAAATCTTGATGAGTTTGTTAATCTGGAAATAGTGAATAAGTTATATGCCAACGCCAAACCCACTGATGGCGCACCGCTAGTAAGAGTTCCTTGGCTTGGTGATAAGATTCTGTAGGCATCTAAGTGCTGACATTCTAGATCATCTCATCTCAGGCAGGTAATTAAGTTGGATGAGACATTCATTACGCGATACTGCATAGGACGTAGAGAGAGAGAGTACTACCACCACCACAAGAGCCTCATGTTGCACCTGTTGAACCTCAACTAGAGACAATAAGTTTTGATAGCACAGATCCTGCTATGAGGGCCTTTTTTTCTTATATTTGGGATGTCATTTAGGCATACCAGATAGGTATGTGTATTAATGATTCTTTGAACAGGTTGCAGTTGTGGATGCAGGAGCCACATCCTCCATTAGAGCAAGTTCCCACTCAGGATGAGTTTAGCAGTTAATTGCAATGGCCTACTAATAGGTTATTCCATTATGAGTGGGCAGTGGGCATGCTTAGGGGTGTAATCGGTTTGGTTTGGACTGATATTTGGTCAAAAAGTTGTCTGAATCGATGATATCTTCATCGATTTGGTTTGGTTCGGTTTTTAGTATTTCTTTAAAAATGAAGCCAAGTCAAACTAACAGGTTGGTTTCAGACATTATATTCATTTGTGTCATCTCTACTATCACGTTTTTCAGCTTATTTTATACGATTACTTTTATAAATATTAATTTCATATAATCTATTTCATGCTCTAATTTTCAAATAACTTACAAGTTGTTTTTAATCTATACGAAGCATTGGCGTGATTTTCATTGTATTATGAAATAAGTTCACTATCGAATAAAAAAGTTGGTACTTGGCATGAGAAGGTTGAGAATAGATTTGAAAGCTTAACAAATAAAACATAACAATAAAGCAAGGTTTCAATACACATAAATTAACATGTATCACACCTTAAATATACATCAAAACTATTTTGTAACAAAACTAGAAGGAAATTCGTTGAATAAGAAGAAACAAAAAAGATTTAAAAAATAGATAAAAACTAGCCAAAGGAATTTTAACACAAATAAGGCTATCATAACCTCTAAGAATGATGATGGCAAGAGAAATTGTGTTGGCGGGCAACCAGAACAGTCGTTTGTAACTTGTAGTTTCTATTTATTATATTTGGAGTTTGGTTTTAACTACATATTTTGTTGAAAAGAAGGAAGTGTGAACTGAGATGAAGAAGAGTTGGACCGATATAAAATTTTAACTCAATAATAGACTAAATAAAAGACTAAGTGAATATTTATAGTTATTTGTTCAGTTCATTGATTTGAGAGTTTCTAAATATTAAAATCGAGAACCGAATCAAACCACCTCAATTTTTATTAGTTTGGTTCAATTTTTGAACTGAACCAAAAACAATCATTTTTTTCTCATCAAAGAGAAAGAAAATGATGCGTGGACCGGAGAGTCTAGCAAAGAGAGCGGTATTACCATCAAACCTACTAATGTGGTATTTTCTACTCCTAGTAAACCAACCACCACAAGCAAAATGTCATGGGTTACCAAAACAATTATGAATCTTTTATGCCTTATCGTTTTTGTTAGTCGATTTTACCAGATAAGGATTCCCTTAACTTTTGGAAGGGAAAGTTAGAGTAATTTTAAGCAAAATCTGGATGACATAAAGGAGATCGTAATGTTGGTTGGAAAAAGAAGTGAAATAAAGGAGATAGTAATGTTGGATGGAAAAATCTAGCTCCATTTTGAACAACCTCAATATTGTATAATTACTAATTCTGCAATTGTAGGAAAATATTATTTTGATTTTTGATTTTAAAAGATTTACATCAAAACTTTGAAATGATATTTCGAGATAGCATTTTGAACAATATTCTATACAAATACTAGATCTGTGATTGTAGGAAAAAATGAATTTGATTGTTGATATCAAAAGAAATACATCTAAACTTAGAAATGACAATTCGAGTTAGCATTGAAGTAATAGCTAAGTTTTTTAAAGAGCAGTCTTTTAAGTAATTGAAAGAAGAAGAAAAAAAATCTCCAAGTTGGTCTTAAACTCAAATTAAAGTAGATAAAGAAAGCATTGGAAAGAGACCTAAAAAAAAACACACTACAAAATACCAGACAAAACATAGCAATTACTAATCCAACAAACTGAGTAAATGGTACACAGAATAAGTAAGCAAAAACATCCATAATTTAGAATAAGCATGTTCTGAAGAAAATTAATTTCGAACAAAATTGTCTTGAAAAAACTATAATATGAATGGATTATGAACGAGTTATCAAGGTCATCACTTCTTGCTGTCTTCCTTTTCTGCCTCAGCAGCCCTCTTGAGCCTAGCACCAAGGTGACGCTTGTTTGTGCGTTCAAGACGGAGCTTGTAATAAGCTTTGAATGCCTTCATTTCATCGGTTATCTTAACAAGTTCAACTGCTGGCTTCTCCCTGACGATAGGCAAGTATGATCCTTGGACTTGAGTAGCATTAGCAAGTTCCTCTGGTGTAGAGTCACCAGCCTGCAAACCAAAAAAAGTCACATGGCAGACTCATACCCTCTAGTTCAACTATTGGAGCAAAGATGGTATAATATTTAAGCAAAACTACATCCTAACAATACATATAATTGAACTTCTTGTATTACCTTGGTCTTGCGTCCACGTCTTGGGAAAACAACCAACTTAGCCTTGTATGTCTTCAGCCTCTGCACATTAGCTTGAAGACCCTCCAAAGAACGGTTCTTGCGGCGATGATCTATAGCAATGCCAATGGTTGGAGCAAGCTTCTTGGGGATACCAGCAGCCTGAAATATAAATAAATAAATAAAATAGTTTAATACTCAGGTTATAATCCATAATAGTAAAGTAAGAAGTGTAAAGATTTTTATTGGGTTCAAGCAACATTATTAAGTATTAAGGCACAATTGAATTCCAAAAAGTGCCTTTGAAAATATTCACAAACCAATTGTATCTAGAATTGAAGTAGAACTAATGCATGGAGGCTTGTACGGCAAAAGATTCCATTTCCAACAACATAAAAAACTAAAATGGAGCCATTACTCTAAAACACGATAACAATTATGAATGCAACCCCATTAATCTAAACATAACAAATGATAAATATAAAATAACATTTGCTATATTACCTTCAATTCTTCAAGAGAAAACCCTTTACCAGCTCGGAGTTTCATGTTGTATTTGGCAGTTTGCCCATGAACAATTGGCCGAAGAGGCCCAGCAGTAGGCCTGGGGAAAATCTTAACTGCCTTCTTCTGGCGAGCTGAAACCCAAACAAAATGCCAAAATAAATATATTAAACAACAATTTCATTATTCACTACAATAAATCAAAATAAAAATTTAAAATGTATAACTGAATGATAAATTTAGCTAAATTGACATTTTGAAATCTAACTAATTCAAACCAAAAGTAAAAAATACATAACTAATTAAAACTATCATTCAAACCTACAATTTAATAAAATATAGAACTAACTCAATAATCCATAAGGAAAAAAAGCTTGGAAATGTAGCTAATTACCCAAGCGTCTTCTGGTCTTCCTTGCTGGTTGGTTAAACCATGTCTTCACATAGTTTTGCCAATGTTTTCTAAAGTGTTCATTGGGGATAACATTGTTGTGCTTAACCATGGTGCCTTACCTAAAAAAAATGAGAAATTTATCATAAGTTCGTGAATCAGTACAAGAAAGTGCAATCATAACAACCAAAATAAAATCTACAAACCCTAAAAAAAAACTGAGAAATTTAGCAGAAAACTCGTGAATCATCGCAAGTATTGAAAATCAAAGAACGCGACGGATCCCTAATACAAGAAACTGAAAAATGAAAATGAAGAGAGGTTTGAGAAAAAACGGCACCTGCAAGTTTGCTTCTGACTCGAGCTGTAGGGAGTGGAAGAACAAATTTAGGGTTTGTTTTTGTTTATAAAGGAGGTCATAGTTGGGCCTTCGAATATGCGCCTTTCATTATGGGCCTTCATTTATTTACGACGATTCTACCTGTTACCTCTAATTAAACCTAACACCTCCCCTCTCCATCTTGTACGAAAACACCAAGTATCTTTGCAAAACTATTTTTCACATTTTTGAAACTTGCAGTTCAAAAGCGGAATTTTCAAATTTCAGGGATGATACCGAAAATTTCAAAATAATTATTGAAAATTTTAAAAATAGTAAATTTTTACTAGAATTTCCATTATTTACGGTATTTTGTTCTAGAAATTTTAAATTTTTCAATATTTTTTACATGAAATTTCATAATTTCCGGTAGTTTAAAAAACTAGTCTTGTATCTTTTGGTAGTTATAAAAATTTAGTTTTATACCGAGAATTTAAATATTTCCGATAGTTATAAAACTTTAGTTTTGTATCGAAAATCGGTAGTTATAAAAGTTTTGTTTTGTACCAAAAATATTAAAATTTTCGAAAGCTGTTGCCTTGTTTTTTTCCTGATTGTTTTTTTTTCTCTTTTTGCAATGAAAATCAGGGGTAGAGACGGTACCATTTCAGGGAGAGCTGCAGATCGAGAATCAAATCAGGGCAGGGCTGCTAGTGGTGTTGATGCTGAGTCTTCCCATCTACAGGCATGACGAGTGGTCTCCACTAGTCCATACTAGAAACGGATGGAGGAGCGGGGGATTTCCGGACACCTCTTTCTACACGACGCCAACCAGTTAGATCAGCAGAGCAGACTATAGATGAGTTGTTGGCAGACGTTCCTATAGTTGAGTCGGTGGTTGAGCCAGTGGTTAAGCCAGTGATTGAGTCGATGGTTGAGTCGGTAATTGAGTCAGTGCTTGAGTCAGTGGCTCTAATTCTTAACGTCGCCACTGCTTGTCATATTGTGTCACATGATTTAAGTTTGTTTAAGGCGGAGGTCCTGAAGGAGTTTGGTGATATCGGTGGTGCGCATTTTCGCATGCACTGGCTTCAGAGGATTTATGATGAGCTTGTCGCTGCTGGGAGATATGATGATGTCAATAGAGCGTACATGCTACATATAGTAGCAACATGCACTTTCTTTGCGGACAAGTTTGATACTTATGTTGATGACCAGTATTTGTGTCTCTTCAGTAACCTCGAAGAGACCAACTAGGCTTTAAGGTATGCAACGTTGATCTAATTATATACAGCGCTTGAAGTGGCGACGGTCTTTGAGACCAGACAGCTTGCTAAATACTTGAGTCTGTTTCAGGTATATTTTGAATTATTTTATGTTATTGTTTTTGTATTTATTTTTTAAGAATATCATTTCTAAATTATTATTTGTTATGATTTCAGTGTTGGATCTACGAGAATTTTCCTACCATCTGTGATATGAGGGTGCAATATTGTGAGGTGAGAGTCCCATAGATGTAGAGGTGGAAGGGGAGGCATATACATCCTGGTGGTCTAGCTAAGTATAGGAGGAGTTTGAATGCATTGACCTCAAATGATGTCCTTTGGACACCATACGATGCTCATAGAGTCCACCTTGAGTTCGAGTAGTCCTCCTTATATTCAGGTTATATGCGGTGGGAGACCATGATTGCAAGACACTTGCCCGAGAGGTGTCTACGATAGTATAGTCATGTTTAGAGTATACCACAAACAGTTCTATATATTCCAGCTTCAGGGATTGATTGATGGTTTTAGGGTAACTTCTTCAGCTCCGGTCGGGCCATCAGAGATCGAGCAATCCCTGTTCAACATCCCTCGTTGTGTGAGGATGGTTACTTAAAATGGTACGTCACATCCACGCATCACCCCACCCCCAGCTGACGATGGTCCTTCTTATGACTAGGTGCCTGCTGATGATGCGTCGCCTCCTCCTCCTCCATTTGATCACGCAGATGACCATCAGCGCTTACAAATGATTACAGTGATTAGAGATGAGCTCATGAGTTTGGTAAACCCAAATGGTGACGTTTATTTTGTATTAGCTCGGATTGCACAAATAGCCCGTAGGGGGCCTATTTAAATATATTTTTTTATTATTTGTATTGTAGGTATATTATTCAAACATCTTTCTCATAATATTTTATTAGCTAATATTAATGATCTTCCTTAAGGTTAACTTACACCTGACAATGGTTTTCATAACTTAAACATAAAACATTTAACATTTAATAAATAAGAAAAACCTAAACACTACCAGATGCTTTAGGGTGTTTCAGCATTTCCATTATTACGTCAACGGATCTTGACAGCTTCACATCTAACTCGATCGGACCCTTTGTTATCCTACGGCGAAATGATCTCCATATTTTCTTCACATCTTCGTCAGTCTTCAACTCAATAAAATTGTATTTCACCCTCTCGTTTGTATCGATCCAATCTTCATGAAATTAGATCTTTCTCACTTTTACATTGTCGCCATCAGACAACAATTCATTCAACTTCGACGTCAGACCGACAAAAAAGGTGGTGTCATCGGGAAGCACAATACTGTCAGCAAAATCATCACCTGTTCCATTGAAGTAAACTTCTGCATTAATCATAAAGACAATTTTTTAAGATGTGTTTCTCAACAAGAGGTGACCGCAATTTATACAATTGTGAATCAATTCTAAACCGTATAAACTGTCGGTGCAATCACAGCCGCACAATACCGTCGAAATCATGACCATCCAAAAAACCCTAAAATAAAACTACTGAAAATTTCTCGTATTTCCGAAACAATTTGCAATTTACCAGAAATTTCAAATGAACTACAGAAAATTTCAAACTGTACTGGAAATTTTGATACAGCTACCAAAATTTTCTAACAAAAAATTGATGTGTTTTTCTTCCAGAGACAGTTTTGACATTATGAAAAATTAAGAAGTGTCAGATTTAATTGTGGGGGTGACAGGTAAAATCTTCTCAATGTAATACTTATATAAAAATGTTAAAATTCAATTAATATAGAGATTTAATTAGTATAATATATTGGTAGTTTAAAAAACTATATGGTAAATCAATTACAATTTAGTCACTAAATTATTTTATTTTAATTATATTTATTAAAAAAAGGTCGTACAAAAATGAGGGAGGAAATTGTTTGAGTTAAAAAAATTGATCGACTAATTTGTCTCATTTTATATTTGTAAGGGGCTAAATAAATATTATAAATATGTATTATTTTTTCTTTCTTCTTAAAAATTTATCTGGGTTCCAATATGTTTTTTTAAAAACCATAATAAATATTTACTCTATAATTTATCTTTTAGGGGGAAATTAATTTTGATTTGCATATCATCACATTTGATATTTAAATTACAAATGTTTGAATTGCATATTGTTATTGTAGTTTTTTCTCTTAATTATAATTATGAGTATTTTGATTAAAATTATGTTTAGATTAGTGGTGTAACATATAATGGAGTGATAAATAATTAAATTGTATTATTTGAATTTGCAAATAGTAAATAGTGTAAAATAAAATATGATATAATTCACTCAATTTAATCTTCTATCCTCTATAGCATCAATTTTGGTATTAATCAAAGAATTAAACAATAAAAGTAAAATTTAGATTTTTCTCCTTTTATTATTTGCAAATTTAGAGTTGTGTTTACCTTTTCTTTCTTTTTAAATTCTTAGTCAGGTTTTAAATACAAGTTATAAAATTTGATTCAGTTATAGGTAGGCAGGGGATATGAAATGCAAGAAAGAAGAATAAAACACAGAGTTATCCTGGTTCTTCTCACAACTTGAGAGAAATCCAGTCCACTTGTACTTACAAGAGATTTTCAATATAATCACACAAGATTATAATTTGCTCAAGCATGCAAGCAATAGACTTCTAATGTTTTATGATAACAGTCTTGCATTGCATTAATTTAGGTGAAGAATCGAAGAAAAACAAGTTAAAGATGAGCTAAAATGGAGAAAAAAGACCAATGAACGAGGAGTAAATAGTTAAGTGTGAAGAAATTAGATTTAGTGAAAAATCAGGTGAAAAAGAGAGCTAAAGTGTGCATCTACAAGATTAATCACGCACTGCATCGCGCGCGCGGTAGATTTTTTCTAGCTGCATCGCGCGATGACCCTTTTTTTAGGTTTTTTATGACGCGTATGGTATATTTGAGCTCTTATTAAAGGGAAATTCTTCACTTTTGTAAGGGTTTTAAAAGTTGGCACTGCAAGTATGATTTTTACAACATCAAGGGTGATTTGGAGAGCATTTGAATCCATTGGACGCCAATACTTCAAGACAAATCATGTAATTTTTCTTTATTCAATTGGTATTGTAATTTGAATTACGAGTGACTAAACTTCTCTAGGTTAGGTTGTGTGTTATGAACCTGTTTCAATATTGTTGGATAATATGTTGATTTTATATTGTATGAATCCTTTGATCTATAATCATATGCAATTGCTTATTGTTTTTAATGTTTTTTTACATGAGATACTCTTTTAAACTGACTTTGGCCACATAATGAATACTGACCATTAATTTATATGTTGGACCTAAGGCGGTTGTGGTACTTACGCTAGTTGAATAGAAATAGGAGATTCTGAGTAATGACATAAGGAATTAACGTTTTGTGAATCGCCTAATCCTAGTTACGCTAGTGGACTAGGGATAGGAAACTATGAGTAATGATTAGTGAGCTATTTCGCAAGGGATTGGTTCTAGTGATTTTGTTAATCTGTGCGGGATTATAG